GATGTCATTCCTCTGTCGGTCGCTGGCAACACTGATAGCGACTCTCACTGTCTTTGGCGGCCTGAGTCAGAGGATGGGAGATATGGCGCTGTATATTATCGCCGTCATCATTGACATCGCGGTTCAGGAAGGGCTCAGCAAGGCGCGCAATGATGTGCGCGATCAGGAGTATATCATGGGGGATAAAAAACAGAGCCTCCTCACTGCGATGGCGGAATTTTCTCCAAGAGGTCAAGGAGCTTCCTCAGAATTCTAAATCAAGCTGGATCTCTCAACACGCTGGCCAAGTCCTCTTTGCGCAAAAGAAGGCTGTTGAAGATCTTCGCAAAAGCATATTCCGGACCCCTGGACATCTTTCCGTCTTCGAACTTCTTCTCCATTTCGACAAGGTCCTCCTCGCTACTGGCGATCCCATGCACAACGCCCTCGAAGGTATACTACCTTAATGTGCCCGGCGTGTCCTGATGAAGGGGCGATTCTGCGCAGAAGTGGAAAAACAACGGTGGATTATAACGGATGACTACGTGAAGGGTGTCAGGCCTGAGGTTTTTGAGGAGGAGGACAGTGAAGACGAAGAGGACGAACAAGGCGGTGGAGGCGATGAAGGTATTGGTGACGGGGCCAAAATTCCTCCCGGCGACGGTCCACTTATCATCCGCAAGGACCGGCAAACTTGTCTTGAAAAGATGATGGCGCAGGTCATTGCACCCTCTTATCTACCCCAGCTTGGGAAGAAGTTTTTTACAACAAAGCTGTCTGCCGCACAATGGCGTACCTTCGGCGAGATTGTCGGGCCTTCGGTCTTTCCTTGGTTATGGGCAGAGTCTCAGTCAACATCGGATGCTTTACCGGAGCATGAGTTGGTCGCTGCCCTCAAGCTTCTTACAATCATCAAACGAATATTCTTGTCAAGCATATCCGAAACCCAGATCAATCGCCTGAAGACTGTAATCAGCGATTTCCAAAGAGATTGTCCTTGAGCTCCACCCGCTACTCCTCTAATCTACAACCAACTTCCGCAGCCCGAGGAGATCCTGGAGCACGGCCCAACCCACGAAGCGCTTGAACGGGCGGGTCAAGAAGATCAATACCAGTGGACGCAATGTCTATCAGGAGCAAGTCCTGCAATTTCGTGCGCTTCTTCGCCAGAGGTCTACTCTTAAACATCCATCAACAGTATCTGGACCAAGATCTATGCCAAGATAGTGGCGTCCCCGAAGATGAAGCCGGTTGGGATGAGGGTAGGATAAGCGACAAGAGTACTATTATCAGTGCCTTCATGTCCCACGGCGTTGTCTCCGAGCATCGGGATGACGCAGAAGATGTAGCTAATCTTCGTCTGTACGACAACAGTGGTCTGGACCAAGACTTCTCGATAGACTTGCTCTCGACTGGCAAAGTGACGCCCGTGTCCTCTCAAAATCAAATCATCGGACTCTTCTACCAATTCTCCAAACTACCCAGGTCCGGACGAGTTCGACTTTCATCACAAAATAGTTGTACGGCGTCACACGTTTTGCCCCGTAGATCCGCCTTCAAAATTGGACTTACACTAGTCACTCTACCCGAGATCATCAACTCTCGTTCATGCATCGACATCCGGAACCCTATTATCCACTTTGCTGATGGTCATCGACCCGAAGTGGGCGCCAAAGCTATCATATGGGCAATAGTGTCTCGGACTTGTCGAAGTCCGGAAGATGGCTCTGTTGGCTCCAGAACTTTGTGGGCCTGCATTCGGCTGTTTGTTCGATTGCAACCCTTGCCTTCGGCCTTCCAGTAAGTACGGTCTCGAGTGAGTTTATGTCTTGGATGCGTTCAATTGTTGATGGCGAATGCAAGGGAAACGTTGGACATCGAGACGCTGTCGGCCACCAAGCTGTCGCCTATGAAGTTTCATCAAATCCATGCTCGAACCATCTCGACCCTCAGCCCAATCGCTTTTCTCAAGGTCTCATGCGCGCTTCCGTCTGCTGAAACGTCTATGCTTGTCAGTACGCCCGTGACCAGAGTATGCCTTCCTGAACTCATTCGACCTGACAACAAGCAGCATATATAAACAAATTGCATCTTATCCATGAAGTCTAGAATGATGTACTAGACATGTTCAATCCACAGCAAGTCAAGTGGAACGCGTAGAAAGGGGTTGGAGTCTGGTGAGTAACGTTGTCTCGGTTCAATCGTCTTGGCAACTCGATACTATGAACGTTGAATCCTCAAATTTGTGTAACTAAGCTACTCTCTAGAATCCAACACGCCGCCTTCCCAGAAGGACTCTCCAGATTCGTCTGCCCGGTCATCCACGCTCACCTCGTCTTCATCTCCAGCCGGGTCACCAAAGTCAACCTCCTCCAATAGAGTGCGCGGGCAAGGGCGCGTCTCCAGCAATTCTGCGAGCTTCCTTTCGTACTCGTCCCTGCGCTCATCGCCCCACAAGACAGCAAGCACCTGAATGTAGAGATCTGACCAAGGCAGGGTCCAGGAGCGAAAGGTCGGCTGCCTGGGCCTGGGCAAGTGCAGAGTAGTACGGCTCGCCTCAGAGGGAGCTGTCGCAGACCTATTGGAGGTCCGTCGGGGAAGGGGGGACGACGTTCGAGCGAGGGAAGGGGCAGGGCGGGCGCGGGACTGGGTAGCAATGGGAGTGGTAGAGGGAGGGGCCATGGTAGGAGAGGAGCGGGGGGTGGCGTTGTTGTTTGTATGATAGAGGGAGGGATGGAGAGGATACATGACTGCTTGGTGTATTTATATGCATAGCGTGGAAGACGAGAAAACACAATGGAAGGTCGAATGCGATGGAATGCAGAGAACGAGCCCGAAAGAGGAGCCATGCTCTGGCAGTGGCAGGAAACTCGGGCCGGAAACTTTCACGCGGGGTCTTTCCCAGAGTGCCGCGGCCGCCGCCACCACTGACGACGACATCCATTTACGTAACTGCTCTCATGGCGTCGCGTGCCTACTAAGGTCGACAGGCGTCCGGCGCGAGATCAAACTTGCGTTCGTCGCGTCCTGCACAATCAATGCACAATCATCACGCAGCACTTGACCTGCACTTGACATCCGGCAATTTTACTATGGCTGCCTCTCTCGAGCACCAACCTGGGTCACCTACCACCTATGCCTCATCCTTCGATATCGATACTGCCCTTCGGGGAGAAGCGGAGGTAGACGCCGTGTCGGCCCTCTTCTCGAACAAAAAGATCCTTCGAAAAACGATCGTTTCCTTTGGCTTGGCGCACAAGAACCGACACGACGAACCAATTACAGTGGAGGCGCACGCAGATCTCCTCAAGCTATTGCTGGAAGAGAACTACAACATCGATGTCGATGAAATTGGAGAAGGTTATACTCAGGTTCACACTGCTGGTGGATCCCTTTCTCTCTTTGATGCCAGAGTACGGCAAGATGATGGTCGGGACAAGACGTATCGGCAGACCATACACTTCTCTCGATTTGCCAATTGGTCAAGCGAAAACAAAGAGCTCTTCGGCCAAGACGTCGAAGGCAGAGTTGGATCTCGAGACGGGATCATCAAGCCAGATGGGGGTATTTCTGCTAGTGTTGTCTGCAAATTTGACGTGCGTTCAGATCCTATCAGTGCAAGGCCGCACTGACGTACGGCCTCAAGGATATCAACAACAAGCCTGCCCTCGTCGACAGCGAGTTGGTCATGGAGCCAAACAAGTCCTTGACGTTCCTTGACCACGTGACAGTCGGTCTTCGTACCCAGTACGAGCTGAAAGACAACGAGGTGCTCTACCACATCGTCTGCATTGTGATAGAAATGAAGCCCCCAAACATTTCCAAGATGCTCCTTATCGGCCAGATCTCATGCTATGCTGGAGGCTACCATGATGTCTGTGGAACGAGCTACGCTTACGCAGGTCATGGTCCGAAGGTGTATCGCCTTTTGGTCTTGGACAATGCTATCGTCTTCGAAGGCACGTCTAGTGACGGAGTAGAGGTTGTTGGGAACTTCGACACTCTAAAAAAAAGGTTGGAAGATGGTAGTGACACAGTTGGAAGGTCCCTCCTTGTCCCAAACAACGAAGGCAAAAATCAGCTGGACGAAGAATTGGTCAAAGATGTTAGAAAGCTGTGTGTCGCTGCAATCGAGCAGCTCAAGAGAATTAATCGCGATCGCCAGCCTTTGACGCGGCTTCCCAGCCCCGAGGGGGAGACATGGACAACCTTGAAGAACATGGTGAAGACTTTCACGTTCGAAGATGCCGTGACTCAGCCCGAACCGTTCTTCGAAGCGGCGCGTTTGTCAAGAAAGAAGATAGCTGAACTGAGAGAGTTGCGCAAACACAAGAAAGATTCTGCGTCTGCGGGGAATGCTGAAAGTGGGCGGAGGGCAGAGGACTCTGAGTTCGTGGCTCCTCCCGAGGGAGCCGAGTCGACCGAAGTGAATGCGGACGCGCAGCCAAGGACCGACGTCGATCCCAAAAGGCCGAAACGAAACAAAAAGAAGACCAAGCAGCAATTTGTCAACGACCCCCCTCCGAAGAACCGGCGCAATCGTTCGCCTTCCCCTGGCGGCGGTGGGCAGGGCCCTACGAAGCGCTATCCCACAAGGAACCAGGCCACTCAGGCCGGTCCGTCTGCTACAAACTCAAGTGCTACCAAGGAAGGCGGTCAGCGCGGGCGCCGGAGCGGGCGCGGGGCCAAGACAGCGGGTAGGACCGTTGGGCATAGGGTTGGCAACGTCAGGGAGAGCAATGACAACACAACAAATGTTTTGAAAGGGAAAGACAGTTTCGAGAGCGCCTCTTCCAAAGGTGAATCCCTTGAGCTCAGGGAGCGCAGGCTAGGGTTCACTGTGCTGATGGTCTGTCTCAGAGTCAATCCGAACGCCTCATGAATCAACCGTCATCAATCCCGTGATGACCGGTACTTATGGGGATTATGATGTCGCAACCACAGGTGAGTACCCAATATCTCTCAGTACTAGTGACTAATATACGTCTGCAATAGATTATGATCCCCTGACCGCTTCCAATCTCAAAAACATCGGTTCCTACATGCCTGAATTGAACGCAAGCGAGAAAGTCCGATCACTCCATGAGTCGATGCTCATGGACCCTGTAATGAACGGTGGTCAAGCACATCATAATGCCCTTACCGAGCTTCGAAACATCGAGGAGGAAGTGCCGAAACAGACTGCAAGTGAGCCGTCGTGTTTGACTCCAATTGTTGAGGTCAAAGCTGATAGTTGTACCAGGTGGCATCATGGAAGACGACATTATCGACGAGGAAGACAATGGCAGTTTCGACCGTGCGCCCTCAGCGGTCTATGATGATCCCTGCCAAGAGTACGTGCTTGGTGATGCTGAGAAACGCCGAGCGTTCAATACAAAGATACAATTACTCGCCGCTCGTTCTGTTCTCAGGCAAGCAAATACTATCTTTGTCATTGCTGGCAAAGAGATCTTCAACAAGTGCCTTGACGAAGCCACCAAGTTTGTTCACTTGTATGTCCATGCTATCGGGCTCAGGCTGACTCAGTCGCGCAGATGAGTTGAAAATATATCTGATCCATTGTCCCGCTCTCGCCGTAGTTTCTTTCTCCCAAATGACCCCATCAATTGTACTGTACTATTATTGTTATATCAGAACGATTTTTCACGTAACTTGTTTACACGAAACTATGTATCATGACCACTTTATAGCGAGCGTAACTTTTCTACACGAAACCATGTACCATGACCACTTTATAGCGAGCGCGCGTCAGAACGCAGCACATGCACAGGTGTGCAGCATTTACTCCTCTCTCATTGAAAACAAGAAGATGTGGAATGTCACCATATGACATGCGGCATAAGCACGATTGTAGCTAGGACGTCGCTGTAGGCCGCACAGTAACATGACTCAACCGCCCAGACACCCGAAGAACACCAGCTAGCTCTTCGCGGCTTGTACTGTACTGTTGGTGTTTCAGCTGCCCGAATACGCTGTTAGCATTCCATAGCCGATCGTTTCTCCAACATAAGCTACTATGCCAAGATACATGCACACAAAACCTTCTCAGATGGGACGCGGTACTTCGAGGAGACTATGGCCGTCGATGGTGTCTTTCCCGAGGCTGCGGTTATGGGACTATTGCAAGAAGTCAAGATATCAGTGCAAGAAGTGATGATATAGCATGGGAGATTAGAAGTGGAGAGCAGATTGAGTGCGACAAGTACAACATTGCATGACGCTATGTATTCAAACCTCGAACAGTTGAACAGTATATCACAGCTCGAGCTGACATTATGGATACAACCACCACCGACATCTCTGAACCTCATCTACTGCCCACCCACAGCCCAGCTAACGCCAAAGCTAGCCATACTTCCGCCCGCCAAACCCGCTACCAAACAGAAACTCGCCAAGCTCGCAGCCAAATCGCGCTCCTCATCCTTGATACGCGGATTCAAAGACGGGGAGGAGGCGACGATCATGCATAATGAGCTCATGTAGCTACAGCAGTGTTAGTATCGGTCGGTTGAATGTGGTGAAGACGTACCCGTTGGTGATGGCAAATGCCAGAATGATGGCGAGGTAGAGAAAGTCAGAGTTGATAAAGGGCGTGTTACCGATGCTCCTCGGAGTGACATTGCAAGCGAAGAAGACCGGGATGAATAGTGTCCTACCCAGCGATAGAGTGAGAATACGCTTCGGAGAAGTCAAGAGCAGAGAGGGAATGGCGGGGAGGTATGTTCGGCCGATATAGTCGCCGATGTTGAAGAGGACGAAATGCAGAGGGATGAATACGTCTGGTTGGAGCAGACGCGGGGTTGGGACATGGGTCGATAAGATGCGCGTTGTGATGGGAGGGAACACAGACTATACAATGGTTAGAACGGAAAGGGACATATAGCAGGACTTACCAGAGTGACGATAAAGACCCAGGCCACGGCAACATTCACCTCCCAGTTCTGACTGAGAATCTTCATAGTCGAGCCCTTCACTTTCGTATGCTCGTCCTCTCCGCTAGCACGAGAAGCTTTGCCAGAAATCACAGAAGTGTATTTCGGCTGCTTCTGTAGGTAGTTGCTCGCTACAAAGCAAGCAAGGGCGCCCAGGGTACAAGCAGCCCAGAGCCCTACACCGGCCAGCTTGCTCGCTTCTTCACCGCCCGGCACGCCATTCTCCTTCTTGCCGATAGCACCCACGAAAGCCAATACGAACTGGATTCCAGATACCAGCACAGCTATCCCTCCTTGCCCTGACATGACGCCCAGCGTCTGTTCGCTGCCCCACAGAGACGAGAGGGCAAAGACGGATGATTGGAGGTATGCAGTCGCGAGGGAGAGGACGAGGGAGATAATGATGAGCGAGGTAAGGAGGAGTGCTGGGGAGAAGTGGGGGAGAAGGCTCGGTAGTAGCGGGTATGTGAGGACCAATGCCGATACGAGGAGTAGGAGAAGGGAAGAGTGAAGACGTTTCGCCGGTGATGCCTATCTTGTTAGACGATAGCCTTCGAGATCAGAGCTGTGCTCACTGTGCTGACATGACGCTGGGCCAGACCCAAGAAGAAGAGGTTTCCAAAGCAGTACACCGTGGACAGTATACTCGATAGACTGCCTCGCATGGCAGAGTCGGCCGGGAGGTACGATATCAGCAGAGGGAACGTGCATATCAGAGCTATCCGGGGTGTTAGCGGCATGTTCGGTGGTCTGTAGTCACTCACCATTCCAGCTGATGAGTACACCAGCCCCGAGCACCCAGAAGCAGAGATACACCTTGACCCTCTCGTACTCGCCCACTTCCCTAGTCGCACCGGAGCCAACAGCGTCATCGAGCTCTTCGCCGTCGATGGGTTCTTCGGGGTTGCCAGATATCACAGGCTGGTACTCTGATGGATCTGGGCGCTGGGAGGCCGCGGGTGTGAGTAGTGAGCGGATGGCGTTGAGCATTTTGCAGACGATGAAGAGGAAAAGTAACTCTGATAATAGTCATCTCGCGCGCTTCCATTTCCTCTTCTTTTGCCTTTTCTTACCATTCGCCTTCGTCATCACAAGTATATAATTCGCCCAATCGTCGTCTCGAGCGGCCTCTCAACATAGAATCGGTACAAATTCGGCCCTCGTCACACCCTCCCACAGCCAAAAATGTCTCTCCCCCAAGCGGGACATGAGGGACCAGCCAACATGCTGTCACCAGCTGGGGTTTCGTCGGGCGTATTACCGACAACAGCCCAAACGGCAACAAACGGCAACATCGAAACGGCAGCAAGTGCCATGCCTTTGGAAAACGGTTCAGAGCAGTCAGCCACACCGTCACAGCCATTGCCGACAAATGGTTTCACCAACGGGTCTCAAACGGCAGCGGAACATGTAAATGGGGACGTTTTTCATGGCGATGGTGAAACATCGATACAGCCTGCCGAAAGCTCACATCCGTAAGAAGAGATAAAAATGACTGTGTGGGCATACCGCTGACGTTCGAAGCAGATTATATGTTCACAACAAGCCGCCTTACCCTGCACCGGCTCATGTGATCTATCCCGAGGAATCGATGCCCAACCCCTACGTGAATGATCCGCGACCTCAACCCGTCTTTCACAACCTCGATGCGAACTCCTTATATCGACCTGCAGTCCTCCCAGCGGATTGCGATGATAGAGTAGAAAAGTCGAGTATATGGATCAATATCGATCCGGAGACGTGTACGTATCCCAAGCTCATCAAGCTCTGCGCTAACGCTCTACTCAGCTAAAGCCGTTTATTGGCTCCCTCCCACTTGCATGACTTGCAAGAGTCCTGCTTATGCCCAACATTGCGACCGCACATGGCCGAAATGCGCTCGCTGCACCACTCGAGGCGTCCGCTGTATCCCCGGCAAAGGCTGGGGTCCGCTCAAACCGAGAGGCAAACGCCGACCAGCTGCGCCCCTGGTATCTGCATCTACTGGCACTAGGACACGGGGGAGAGATAGTACGGGATCGGTTGTGAAAATTGAGAGGGAACCGTCTCCTACGTTCCAATTGGAGAGTAGCGAAAGGCCAAGGCGGATCTCTGGAAGAGGGCTGAATGCTGGGAGTGACGTGGAGATGGCGAGTCGTTCGTCGACTTTGGTGTCTAATACTACGACTCCTCTGAGTGGAAGGGGCAAACGGACGCGGACGGAAGTGGTGCAAAGCCCGGCGTCTACTACTGCCTCCGTGCCCAGGGCTGCGAAGCGCTTACGCCCGAGCGTCTCTCACCCCACGTCCCCCTCGCCGCTCCAAAATCAAATTCCCATTCCTGCTCCCGTTCCGAATCCTACTCCACCTGTGAACAATGTTCCTGCACCGATATCTCTCAAGCTATCGAGGCCTCGTTCATCTCTGGCTTCCTCATCCCAGTACCCCGCACTTCCGTCGCCTATAAAAACGCCATCCCTCATCCCCGACATTGGCCCAGTCGTACAGCGGCCTGCACCTTTACCTAAACGCAGCACAAAGGCGAAATTACCCCTACAAAAGGAGCTTACAGACCAATGTCCGGCGATTGCTCATACTCGGCAAGACCTTGCCGCTGCTCTCGACTATGTCAACAATCCGAAGAGGACCGTCGGGGGAAGTGTCAGTAGTAGTGTTACTGGGGCTGCCAAAGGTTTGATCCTGGAGGGCAAGGTAAGTGCTCAGGGGGTGTACTTTGGGATGGGAGAAGAGGCTGGAACGATCATCACCACCATGTAAGTCTACATCCTTCTTGCAGCAGACGCTGATAATGGTGTCAGTGGAAATGCTCGAAAGCAAAATACAGAATCCTTCAGTGATCCCACCGTCGTCCCTGAAGCACCCCAAATACTGCCCCTTCTAATGGCGCAGAGCACCAGGACCCCTGTCGGTATTGTGGTCAAGAATGATTATGAGGCTCTGCCTTGGAATCTGCACGCCGAGTATGCTGTTCTGGGATTTTTCTGGATTGTGGATGCTTGGGTAAGTCATGTGCCCCGGGTAACATCGAGGCTGACATCTTGCTTTAGGTCGAACCGGTGGTCTCATCACTAGAGCTCTTCACCCCAAACCAAAAAGCGCCCAGTGGCCCACCTGAAAAAGTGATCTGGAAATTCCGTTTCGAGTGGTGTCAAGATGGGACATCTCCATGGTGGTCGCCCTCGTCAAACCTTCATTGGTCTCGTCAAGCTTATATCGAAGTCGAAGATACAGCCTCTTGGGATTTACCAGGAGGCGCAGACAAGACCATCGAGCCTAGGACGGTACAACGCTCAGGCAATCTGGAGGCGAATGGGCAAGATGTCGTCATGAGGAATGGAGAGAAGGATGCTGTGACGCATCGCTGCGAGGCCTGTAGAGCTGTGTCGCAGAGAGTGTATAGAGATGGAGATATCTGCTTGAATGAGCAGTGTGCTTGGTTTTTTGGTGATGCGTCAGACGCCAATAGTGAGTCTTACCAGCGCTCCCGAATGCCTTCTCTGACACTGTACAGACCGAATAGGACCCATCAGCAACACGCCCGGTCCCGTCAAACCCCTCCCTCGTATACTTCCCAGGCAACAAAACCGTGTCATCTGTCCACCCGAGCCCGGACATTCAGTATTCAAGAGTGGTCGAGAAAACGCGGGTATAGAGTATTGGGTGGCTTGGGTCTGTAAAGACTGCAAAGTGGCGCAGCAACGGGCTACATGGTTATGGAAATGTCGATTCTGTCCTGTACGTCAAGCAACGAGAGTTGCACGTAGGGACGCTGATGGAATGCTACAGAGAAAGTACGATATAGCCCCGGTAACCTACACCCATATTGGCCTTCGCCCACCTCGTCCTGTATGTACAGGTCCTCGCCAAGAAGACGGCTACGCCCATTGGCCGCATAACGCTCCTCGGTCCTGGTCCCTCTACAAGGACGATGTGAAGGTCGTAAAGCATATGCCGACGGAGTCTCTGGGAATGGATGCGGAGGTACATCATGCGCTCAGTAGTGACCGGACGGCAAGTGAAGCAGGTGTTTTACTGGTCAGAACGCAGAAAGAGTTGGCAAATGATCTCCTTCGGGGAAGCTATCTCGAAGGAACAGCAAAAGGTACGTTTCTTCTGTATCAGTGGGAGACTATGTGCTTATCTGGATCAGGCGCCGAGATGGTTCTCTCGCTCTTCTACGCCTACAGCGTTGGCATGCAAGCCTCAAGACTACCCGCATTCCCCGTCAAAGAGGTTCTTTTCTGGGACCGGGCCTATAAAATCACGCTCGACATCATGCGCATGATCAACTGCCAAGCCGCGCGTATGTTCCCCGGTCAACGAGAATTCGGCAACCTCACCATCGCTGCCATGCCGCCCCACCTGGACGCACGCGCCGCACCAGTTATCACCGTACCCGCCAAAACGCTGTTGACAATCCTGTTCATGGGCTCCGACTCGACAGTCAAGATCAAGTCGGTCGGCCGGGGTAAGCAGGGGTCGCTAGTGGCGCAGCATGGTGATGTGATTGGAGTCAAGGCTGGAGAAGTCGCTGTTGATGTGTCGGTCAAGATGGACTCATTTGGGTTCTGTAAGTGCCCCTAAATACTTTGAGAAGAGTGGTGCTTATACGCAAATGTAGTGTGTATTGGACGTCATGGCGTCATGCCAGGCCAATTTCCAGCCCCAGCCCCAGCCCCAGCCCCAGTAGCTCGGATCCCACCTCCTGCCCCTGTTGCGAAACCGCCAACTCCCGCCCCTGCCCCCGCCTCCTCATCCAGACCTCCCGCCCAACCACCCATAGTCGGTCCTCCCAAACTCGCCACAGCTCCATTAAAAGGCTGGTACCTCGGCGGCCACCCTCTGGACCCCTCGGATCCCGAAATCATCTACCCAGCCTTCCGCCCGCCTCAAGATAACCCCTATGCCAAGGTCGACAAAGGCAAAGGCAAAGCTACGGAAGAGTCGGAAGTCGAGCCAGAACCGCCTGCACCCGAGCCTGTAAGCAGGCCACCACCTATCATCCTCGATGAGATGCCTCCCCCTCCTAGGTTGTGGGAACCTCGCCCTTTGTCACCACTACCCGGCTATGGCGAGAGTACAGAGACTATGCGAAAGCAGATGGCAGAAGCTGCTGCGAACGCTCCTTCGCCTACTCCGTCGGTCGACGAAGTCCCAGCCTCGAGAGGCCGCGGTCGTGGTCGTGGAGGCCGAGGCGGACGAGTAAGAGGCAGAGGAAGAGGAAGAGGAAGGGGGCGTGGCGCTGCGACTGCCGCTGCTGCTACTCCTGTTACAGTCCGGGATGAGTCGGAAGCTCCTCCTGCTCCTACTCGTGGGGCTAGAGGCGGAAGAGCACGGGGTACTCGAGGTACCCGCGGTACTCGTGGCGGTAGAGGTTTGCGTGGCGGTGCGAGGGGAGGAAGGGGCGGTAGAACAGCAGTCAAGATTGAGCCTGACCTGGAACCGGAAGATCATCACAGCGCGGATGGTGGCCAGGCGATGGATGTGGATGTTGATCAGGCGAAAGCCGATGGTGATAAACCCGCAAACTTGGATGTGGATGTGGATGCCAATGCGGAGACGACGGGCTCCGGTCCGAGCGCGACAACTGGCACGAGGGGTAGGGGCGGCACCAGAGGGACACGGGCTAGGGGGAGAGGGTCGAGGGGTACGGGTATCACGAGAGGTCGGGCGCGGGGGGGAGGTTAGAGGCAGAAAAAGGCGGCACGGTATACTCAACCGTAACCGGGCACCTTGCCCAAGGACCACAACTTCTATCAATTACCTTCAATACCTAGCGAAATTGCCTTCTGCCCACAGATATGCTTGTTAGTGACATCTCTTCAATGCATCCGATCATACTCTCGGAAACAAGTTGGGGCGCTGCAAGATCACTGTGTACTCGGCACGGTACCGCTTCAGTAAAGAGCATCTTTCGACCCAACCCAGAACTGTGACTACTTTTTCTTATGATAGGTCTTTTCTCCTATACAATAACACTAGCAAGATGCAATACTCTAGTCGGAAACGTGTATAAGAAGCTTTCCAGTAGTTCCGCGTCTGACAATATCCTTCTCCGCCTGGATGATGCCTTCAGCAGTGAACGGGTACTCTTTGTGCACCTCAAACTGCAACTGATCAGTATATCCCTCAATCCGTCAATGTAGAGAACGCACTTTGAGGGGCCCCTTCTTGGTGATATCGACGAGCTCGTTAGCGTACTGCTTAAACTCTGTTGTAAAGGTTGTAAGGTTTTATGGATAAAGAAGAAGAAGAAGACATATGGAAACCACTATGGAACACTCCAGCGCGAACGTCCGGCGGCCATCTCCGCAATCCTTTCTTCCAACATAACACAACAAACTCTTCTGGAGTGGCGATCATCGAGGGCAGAGTTGAGCGGACCAATCTGAGGACCTTGAGCATGAGCCTGTTGACTACCAGGTCCGGGGGAGTACCCTATTATATACCGTCAGTTACAGCTCGCAGTAGCAGGAAGACTCGGATGACTTACCGAAGCGTTGCCATAAAACACGATCGTTCCCTTCTTTCGCACAACCTCAAAATTCTCATCCCAGGTGGATGCACCCACACCGTCGTACGATACGTGCACACCGCTACCAGACGCTTCGAGGATCTTCTTGACATTCTCTTCGGCGGGGTTGGTTGGGAGAAGGACGAGGTCTGCACCGTACTCGTACTTTTTGACAACCTTGGCCTTCTCGGGCGTCGAGACAGTACCGATAACGTGTCCACCGAGGTACTTTACAATCTGCATCAAGACCAAGCCCACACCCCCTGCCGCAGATCGTACCAACACCCAATCGCCCTTCTTGACCGCATAACACTCTCTCACCAATGCCAATGCCGTCAGACCGACAACGTTGAGCGAGACATCGTCCGGCTTGTCGATGCCTTTTGATAGGAGAGCGACGTGGGAGGCGGGTACGGCGATGTACTCGGCCCAGGCGGAGCCGGAGGGGCAGAAGACGGTGGATCCAACGGGAACGGTGAAGCCGGGGGAGCCGGAAGGAGAGGTAAGGAGGGTGCCGACGACATCAAAGCCGGCAGTATAGGGCTTCTCGCGGTCGTAGACGCCGGTTCGCTGGTCTGGAAATGCTGATGAGATGTATGCCAATGGGTCCAAGGGAGGGGTTTACAGATGTCACAGTAGTTGACGCCGCTGCGACGGTATTGGTTATAGCTCACGCCCTTTTCAAAGAGAGCAGTGATAGATAAGAGACTCACGTCCACTGGACCTTCATCAAGACTTCATGTGCCTTGGGAGTCGGGACAGGAATGTCTCTGAAGATGCTGACCTCTGGTCCGCCCACCTTGTCGACCCAGAGAATCACGTTAGCGAGCGGCGGCGCAGAGTCGAAGCTAAAGACAACCGGCGGCGGACGGGCTGCGCACCTGAATTGCTTTCTGTGTTTTGGAAATATCGGTGCTGCTCATAATGAACGATTTCTACGGATTCGAAAGTGCATGAGCGGGGGACTATATATACTGCATGGTCGTGGATGAAGGCCGTCATACCATGGCCGATGCTGACCTGAGCCCGCGGAGAAGAAACGACGAGTGCCTTCGGGTTGCCGAACCTACATAATGTGTCATGCTGTTGAGATATAGTTGATTTGCTCCCGTGTTGCCGTGTATGTGCGTGTAACGTAGCTCTGGGTTAAGCAGATTGGACGCCGTTGACTTATAGTCGGGTTGGGTTGACCCTCAAACCTGGCACCCGCACACAGCGGGTACTGGGTCGGCACTACATAGTTACTAGTGTAATTACTGCCACTAATAACCATGTAATTACTCCTCAGTTGCGGGATCTCCAAGTTCTACACTCCCGCCCCTATGATCCCCAACTATCTTCAAATCTCTTCGAATAAAGGAGAATGATGATACAACTGAAATGAGGAACAGAAACGAGAAACCCCATCCAAAACACAGGGTATCGGGTATCTGGTACGCGAGAACTCTACTCCCCCTCAAACCCTCGCACGTCGCAAAGCTGACTCGTTCTCAGCGACGGTGGCCTTTCCCTTCTTCTCCCCGTTTCCCTTCGCCCGCGACCTCAAATCTCCCATCATCCTGTAGTGCAAGTCTTTTCCCAGTGCCTTCGTGAGTACGTCGGCCTTCTGGAGACTCGTGGGCATAAATCGCAAGTCGATGACACCGAGCGCGATGCACTCGCGTAACTTGTGATACTTAATATCGATGTGCTTTGTGCGTTGGTGTGCACTTGGATGGGGCTCGAAATTAATTGTCGACTTGTCGCAATTCAGCCTCCTGGGGCCCGATGGCGCAAACCTAGGCTCTTGAAGAGTGATCGTAACCAGAGGATTTCAAGGAGGGCGGCGAAGGTGGCGATGTACTCTGCCTCCATCGTAGAGGATCCTGGGGCATTCGAGAGACCACTGTCTTCTCGGGTACTGCTTCCGTCCTCTCAGGCATTTGTGATACCATCGGACTGTGGGGAAAGGTACTAGTTCCTGTCGCGTCCGACGAACTAGTCATCTTAGGCGTCTGTACGCGGGTGATCCATCTCCGACCCTATGGTCTAAACTCACCCCAGCTGGAGGCATAGAAAGAAGGTGCGCTTGTCTTCCTCGAGTTAAGATCTTTGTAGGTTCCGTCCTGCGCAGTAGACTCAGTACTAATACGTGGATCTGACGTGCGCGTAGCACATACCTGATCACCGTCGCCCGTAGCAACGCTCTGCCTCGTCATGGCCGGTTCCAACGGCCGCTGCCACTGCTGCAAGCCCGCCCCCTCTGACGCGCCTCCCGGCAACGCCATCTTTTCGGTCCAGTCCCATGAGGAATGTCACATCCCCGTACATAACCTTTTCGCCTGTCGACTTGAGTCGTATCTTCCACTCGCTGGCATCCTCGCTGAAACCTAGCAAGCGTCCTCTGAGGCCTCTCGGCGCATCGAAGGTCCCTTTACTTTGTCTGCGAGTTATGGTCACTTCGCAGATGGTACCGAATGGCTTGAACTTATCGATGTTTGGCTTCGGGTGAGTCCAGTTCTCCGGGCATGTAGAGGTATAGAGGGGATCCGAGTGGGACGACGTCGAGTGAATGCTCTCGCTGGTACGTCCCGTTCTGTGTGGCGTGGCGGCGGTGTCGACGATGAACGTCCCGGCCGACATCTTGTTCGCCTTCTGAACGCTGAACATAGACCAGCTATCGCTTTCTCCGCCGTCGGCTCCTCCCGAAGGTCCACTTTGGACGGCATTCACATAACCGCTTCCGGTTACCTCGGTCCCTTTGCCTCGTCCCTTCTTCTCCGGGCAATTCCTCGCCAGGTGGCCTTGCTTGGGACAGTTGAAGCACTTTCGCTTATCGATCTCCCTGTCGTCGGTGCCTCGCTGTTCGTGATATGTTGCCGAGCCTCTCTTTCCCCCTCGACCTCTACCTCTATTCCTATGTCCATCCCTCCCGGATCCTGAACCTCTCCTGCTCTCGCCCCCCGACATTGCCAGATTGAGCTGCTCAACTCTGGCTTTCTGTTGGTCGGCTTTGAGCATTATGCTGGTTTCCGAGTGGAAGTGACGGGTGAGGCCAATCGTGAACTGGTCTCGAAACGAACTAGCCTCGGATATGGGGGATATGGGGGTAATTGTTTCCCAGCGACATGAAGAATGCATGGATCTTCTCTTGTACGGGCATGGGAGCTCCGAGCTGTTTGAGGTCGATTCGTATGCCTCGTGTTTTTGGTCCCATTCATGGGAAACAGGCGGTGGCGAAGAGGTGAGGTGTGGTAGGGGTCTTCGGAACAGGCAAGCAATGCCTCTGAAAGTTCGGTATGGTGTGGGATCATGTAGTGATTGACCTTTCTACGCAGTGTGATCAGGATTTCACTACGACTGACTGAAATGGAATGACTTCCGTTGCGGGGGTGATTTCTCGTCGACCCCCTGGAATGTTCAAAGACGTTGGTACTCAGCTAATGCTTGTACCCTCTGGTTCTCCTTGGGTCTTTTTTCCGGTTCCTTCTCTCTGAACTTGTGGAACGAGTTGGCGACCGTGGTCGAGAAGATGTGTCAAGTTGCGGCGGGGATTGGCGCAAGTTGACTGATAGCGCAACGAGTGCTACCACGACTCATCACGACACGACTCTTAATCTGTTGAGATATAGTCGATTTGCTCCCGCGTTGCTGTGTAGGTACTTGTATGTGCGTGTAACGTAGCTCTGGATAAGCAGGTTGGACGCCGTCGACATGCACCACCGAGTTGCTACCTCCACCTCTACCCTGCTTACCAATCTTGCTGTATGTCGTCCAGGGGGAGTATACGAAATACCACACGCGACAGGAAAGAGCCCCCTCTCGCCACTGAGTGACATGGTGGGATAGTCAGTCATTATTGGCCCCTCAACAGGTGACCGAATCGCTATGAAAGACGAACGAAGAGCAATGAGAAACACTCTAACGCTTCTCATACATGTTCCTAGTCTGACCGTTACATATGCTACAGATATCACACATATACCCTGCAAATCCCACGAAAAGAGTCGCCTAGTCATACAACGCTCAACAGTCCCAGTGTCAAATCCCAAATCAGTCCTTGAATCCCCGTCAATTCACACCCCACTCTTCAAACGCTTAGAGCTGATCTCTCCCCGTCAACACTTCCGGCGTCGACATCCTCCTCGCCTCGTTCCAATTCCCACTTCCCCCATGCCCATGCCCGAACCCTCTCGACCAGCTGGTCAACTTTGACCTCGTCGGCTGATCCACCAGCTTGCCATGATACACTGCCCTCATCACATTCGCCGTCGGTGACGCCGGTGTGCCCTCCATCATCTTTTCCAATCTGAAACTGAACGTAGACGGTGTCGGCGGGGCGAAGGGTGATAACAGCGGCCTAGACGGAGATGGAGGCAAGGGAGAAGTCGATCGGGGTGTAACGTCCGCCGTCTTATCGTTGAGATTGGCAAGTAACGCCGACGGCAACAATAACGGGAACAACGTCCTAAACCGCCCATCCAAACTAGCCCCCTCAATCACGGGCTGTACTACCATCCTCGCCGCCTCCCCTTCTTCCTCATCATCCCCCATCAACGCGTCCAGTCTCGCCTTCCACACTGCTTGATTGTTGGCACAGCTATCGGCGTATCGTTGCAGTTCGGGGAGAGCGTCGGATACGGCGTCAAAGAGGGGTTTGGTGAAGAGGTCGATAAAACCAATTTGGCCTTTGGCTTGGAGGGCGGCGTCGGCAGAGGCGACGACGGAGACGGGGAGGGAGAGGTCGTGTTCAAGTGAGGCTTGTTTGGCCCATTCTTCGAGCAGCACAGATGACCAGTGATGTGATACGTCTATCGGTCGGCTCTATCATATTATCAGTGTCGTTCGTTGTAAAGGAAAGGGGCGGCTCACAGGATTACTGATATCTGCACTCTTGATCAACGCCTGACAAATCAATACCCTCTCCTCCTCCTCCCCTCCCACAACCCCCTCCCTCAACCGCTCATCAAACTCTTTCAACCTCGCAATCCACGCAAAATGCAGACTCATATCCGTCGCCAATATCGACGAATAAAGCACCTTCCTAAACCCTTTCTGGTCGATCCCGCTCTCGGTGGCGCGCGCCAGGCAGGACGGGGTGGAGGATTCGATGAGAAAGCCGAATCCGTGCTTGCGCAAGAGCTGCACGACGAGCATGCAGTGCATGTTTTCGAGCACGGATTTGTCTTCGTACACTTGTGAGAGCGGTACTTTGGCGTTTTTCTGTGACATTCCTTAGACTTGAGACTTGTATAGTGAACGCGGGGACGTACCATGAAAGCATTACTCAACCCGGGATGTCCCACATCATGCCCCATAGCAGCAACAAGCACCGCCAGCACATCCTGCGGCCTAATCAACCCTCTCGCCCTCTTCGTCCCCTGACTCTCCCCTCCCTCCTTCGTCCTCTTCCAAGCTTCCTTGACCCCTTGGTCCTTATCCGGCCACTCGCGCAGATAGTCGAAGGGCGGGACGACACCAATGTCGAGGAGGAAAGTATAGGTCGCTTGAAGCACGTCGATGGCGTGGACGTAGTTGTGGTATGGGTTAGGGGCGTGGTAGATTGCGCGAAGAGCGTAGAGGAGGCGGTTGACTTTATCTACTGGTGCGTTAGTGTGTGGGTCTCTGATCAGAGACGGATACTGACCTCGTTCGAGGCCAAGATGCGCTAGACCTTCGGTGTTCAGAACCCCCTCAAATAAGATACAGGCGACACGGTAAAGATCGCCTTCTTCCAAATCATGCGGCTTGAAGTCCCACGTCGTAATCTTGTCCACCAACCTGACTCTCTCCTCGTTCGTCAAAGGTTTCGACAGCCTACTCCATTTTAGCAAGAAGATCACCCAAAGAGAGGACATCCAACTCACAGCTCATACTCTTCCATCTGCACTTCAACAGTCGCCCCCGTCTGATAATACAACGCACTCAACAACTCTGCCAGCTCTGTATATTTCCCCCACGCATCATTCTCCGCACTCGTCTCTGTCCATATTCCCGGACTCGTCGGTGACTTATGGTCTATGCGATCCGTGATGTCGGTGGTGGGCGATACGGAAGGAAACGAGTAGCCTTCATGTATCTGCCCCAGCTTATCCCCCGTCCCAGCATTGAGAGAGAACGATTTCAGCGCTACGATACCAATACCCGGTACCCCGCCCTCCATCGCCGCCGTATCATACAACCGACTCGCCCTTTTAATCGCCAACGCCAGCCCACCAACATCCACACTCCTCCTCCTCGGATCTGGCTTCAACTGTCCCTGTCCCCCGGGGTGGCTGGCGCAAAAGACGGTTGCTTGGTCGTATAGGTACGGGAAAGCGTCTGTCGGTGCTGGTGATTGGAGTGGGCCTTTTGAAGTGAGGAGGGTGGGTGGGTCTTGGAGGTTGGTGTGCTTTGGGTGTTGGGCGAGAAGAGCGGGGGAGGCGCATGTACATGCCGAGCCAAAGGGGTCCGACGCAAAGTTGACGCCATACTGGACTGACCCTTTCCTCGATGCCGACCCGGGCAAAGACGGCTCGAACGATATCGAATTTCTCTTCGAATCGCAATGAACCGACCAAGAGCTCGTCGATCCCCTCCTAGACGATCCCACCGCAGCGCTCAACACCCTTTCGCCTTCTTGTTCCCCTCCGCCCATGGATAGTGCCGTCGGCGGAAGGACGACAGACGTTTCTTCACCCGGCATGGCTGATGCCGAAAACGACGACCGATGATTCGAATGTACACTCTCCGCCCGGCCACCCACAGCGGGAGAAGCAGAATGGAACGGTGATTGGAAATCCACCACCCCGCCGTCTTTATACGACTCTGCCATCCTTCTCACCATACCTGCTGTATCAGGGCCATAAGGCGGGCGGAGGACACCAATAGCGCCGACAGAGAGACATGCGGAGATGGCGTTTTGGGATAACGCTGGGTTGGCGCTGTATGCCATGATCAACGGTTTCTCCGCTTCTTTTGTGATATCCGGTGATAACATCTCCCCCACCCTCCTGATCTGCGCCAAAGCACCCTGCAACCACTTGTCCTCCGCCCTCCTCGCCCTATTCAATATATCCTGCTGGAAAAACACTGCCGTCGGCGTCGTGCCGCGGTTCGTCAGGAGCGAGAGGGAGGGGAAGGAGGGAGTGTCTGCGAGGGGAACGAGGATGATGTTGGTCAAGGGCTGGTCGTTGGGACGGGTGATGATGGGGTGGGGGGTGAAGGCGGTGCTGGTGTTGGGGGGGTTGAGGATAGTGGTGAGATGGGGCAACGCGCGGATGACGGTCACTGGTCGCCGTCAGCTGTATCCAGGACGGAAAAAGATAGAGAAGAGTGGCGATCGGCTCCCTTTTCCATCCCTTGTTTGGTTCACCCCGCCATAGTAAAGAAAGAAATGACTCACCTTCTAAACCACTTCCCCTTAGGTTCCCAACAAGCTCATCAGCCTCCCACCCCGCTCCAGGGCGCGAAGCACTCGATGCGCCGCTCGCTACCGCCAAACTCGCCCTTGCGCTCGTCGTGCCAGCGAGTAATTCTGGGGCTATGCCGGATAATCCTGGGGCGCCTGTTGGAGTAGGGTCGAAGCCCGAGGCGCCGGTGGCTGTTTGTGGGCGCCGACGCGATCTACTCCCTGCAGCACCAGAGATGGACGCAGAGCCGAAAGGCCGGGACTTGGCGCCAAATGGAGGAGCAGCCAACGTCGGTGGTTGTGGTGGTACAAAGCCAGACGTGGAAGATCCCTGGGCGGGTGTGGATCCGGGGGATGTCGCTGTAGGCGAAAGGAGAGGGGAGAGTAACGGTTTGTGACTCGGACCCTGGCCCGGGGCGTGGGAGTGGAGGAACGATGAAGGCGGATGGACGTTGATCGACAGATCTTCCGCTTTCCCTGCCCCTCCACCACTTGACCCAACTCCCAGAGATCCCGCTCCTAGGCCTGATCCTAGACTCAGTCGCCGCCCAGCAATGATCTGTTTTTGGATCTCTTCTTCCACCTTTGAGCTGCTTTCGACTTTTTCCACCGCTGCTGGTGTCCCCCCAGCTCCGTTATCTCCTCCAGATCCTACCTCGGCACCTCGTTCTTCAGAAGCAGAGGTAGAAGCCGACGCCGATTCGCGCAAACTCGATAACGTCGGTACTTTCGAACTCGACGAACGACTCATCAATCCTCCGCCTCCCCCAGGGCTCTGACCCGGACGCGTAGGCCGGAAAGTATCCACAGGCCCCGCTGATGTTGATGTTGGTGATGGAGCCACAGCAGAAGGGAGGAGGACGAGGATGTTGAGTGGGGCGGGGTTTGACCGTCCTCCTGAAGTCGGGGCGGTAGGGGCTGGAGGGAGTGGGGGTTGGTCGGGGTGGGAAGACATTGTGGATGTCATTGGCGGAATGATTGATTGAATAGGGTAGGATGGGGCAGAAGAAGAGGGAAGGGGAGTTGGTTACTGGATTGTCAAAGACCAACTGCGAGCTAGTTGAAAACGGATGGTCAGCATCCGCCTCGAGCATGTTGACGCGTAGTTATCAGACCATCATCAACCCCGGCTGATAGCGCCCAGCTCTATCTCAAAACTCACAAAGAGACACTGATTGTCCACCGAATCACACGAGATGTCCGTTGTTCGGATGAAAAGCCGTTGACCGTAGAATAGACAATTGAAAGAGTCGGCACGTTGCTTTCTCGCGTTGGTGCCGCTAGCCTGTGGCCTGCGGGCTGTGGGGCTTGTGGGGCGGCGCGAAGGCAAGAAAAAACAACGAGAAAGATGTCTCGGAGTCTCAAAAATCACCCCTTTTCGGATTCTCCTTTGTTCTCCAGTCGAGGTTGGCAGGTATGTCCAAGCACGTGAAGTGGTATGCTTCTCTTGAAGCCTTCGTACGCGTAGTCGGGTGCGTTGAGTGGGAGGTGGGGATAGAAGAGTCGATGAAGCGAATGAGGAGATAAGAGAGACGCGGGGGACTTGCTGGAATACGTCAAAGGATCGACGCAGCGAAATAAGTTGTTAACCCCTCCTGCTAATCGTGATCACGCGCACAGAAAAAAGTGATCCCGTTTCCCTGGCTCCCTGGATGACGCTCCTGCTGCCCAGCGGGGGACCTGATCCAGTGATTTGGCCCCGCTATCCATTCCCCGGGGTCCACTGAGCGTCGTGTTTGGTTCGGGTATGCATCGTGCTGTGCTGTAAGGGTGTGGTATCGAGGGAAAGGTAGGCTACCGCTTTGCCCCCACCTTCGGCGCGTTCGCCTCTCTCCAACCATCAATCAGTCGCCCGACTCTGTTCGACTGTCGAGCGGCGAGTGAAGCTGAAGTTGATCTGCACAATGAACAATGCACATCAAACCACACACCTCGCGTCGCGAACGAGTTTCAAAGTGCGCTCGGGCCTTCTTGGGTATCGCTGACATTCTTTGTTCTCTGCAGCTTCACGCACGCTGAGATGAGAGCCGAGGGCAGTCCTTGCAAGTCACTCCCAGCGGTGCATCCGTCCGTATCCATGCATACCGCATCCTCCTCCCTCCCCCTTCGAGCGACACTCACGCACACATCAACTTTGCTTTCACGCATCACTCACCCCTTCGAAACAGGACGACGAGCCGCGAGTCGGGGAAATTGCCCTTTGCGGTAATTCCCCGCGCGCGGTTGAGAGAAAGGATGATGGTTCGACTTCACTCGCTCGTCAAGATGCATGCTGTTGCTCGATGCGCTTTGACGGGGTGAGAGGGGGGTGAAGGGGGTGAAGGGTATATCAGGCATCCATCTCCTATTCCTGATTTCTTACAGCAACTCACAGAAGGACACTATCCCAGCAGTGAGTATCACCCAACCTCCCACACTCTCGCCTATAGCCACAACTAACAATTCTTTCAGCCCCTCCCTCATCCACATCACCATGGTCTCCATCGCCGCCCACAACAAAGAAAACACCTCCTTGTCCCTCACCGACATCGACGCCATCTCCCTCTCCCTCCGCTCATCCCTCTCTGGCGTCTCCGTCCGTCCCAAGAAACACCAACAGGGGACTATCGGTATCGGCCGCGCACCCAAGCACACTTCTTACCCCAGGCGGTATGTGAGCTCGACCAAGCCTTATGCGAGGGGCCGCAATACTTCCGTCACACGCGCCAAGTTGGCTTCTGCTTCTTCTTCTACCTCTTCTTCGGGCAAGGTGCAGCGTCGAGTCAAGGCAAAGCCCAAGGCGAGACCGCCTCCTCTCAAGTTGGACGACCCGGCCTACGACCTCAAAGTCATGCAAGAGCGTGTCAAGAGGGCTCGATACGACCCTGCGAACGGGGACGTTGGGCAAGTGAGGATGCCTCTCAAGTTGCCGTTCCCCCAGATCCCGCCTATCGAGCATGTTGACCAAGAAGGACTTCGTGATGTTGTAAGTTCTCTGTCATTTTCTAGTTTGGAATGAAGGCTGATGAGACGTTTAGCCGGTAGATTATATCCTGAACAAACTCCTCCCTCTCCTGCCTTCCATCTCCACCATCACCCTCGCCTACAAACCCTACCCCCAAATCCCCCACCCCTCTCCTTCCTCCTTCTCTACCCGCACCCTCGCTCTCGCCATCCCCGAAATCATGGACGGCCGCAAACCGGAATGGCAAGCCAAAACCCGGGGACGCGAACCCAACATGTGCCTCGCCATCCGCCAGAGAGCAGGGGAAGCGACCGAGGGTGATATGGTGATTGCCGTCAACTCTTTGGTTTTTGCCAGTCAGTGTTCGTATTGGAACAGGTTGATCTCTGCTTCGCGCCTTCCTTCCCCCTCCTCCACCACTCCTTCAACGAGTGCCAGCAAGCAGGCTACACCTTCTGAAACTGCCGTTTCTGCTGCTTTGCCCGCCATCTCCGAGGAAGAAGGCTCTTCGTTCTCTGAAGAGTCCGAATCCGAGTCTGAAGACGATTCCGACGAATACGAATCCCTCGAACCCTCCCCCTTGCCCCCAGTCATCAAAGACCCCCGCGGCTTCCTCCACCTCCCCATCATCCCCATCCTCCTCCCCTCCCCACCCACATTCCACCTCATCCACCGTCTCCTCCACCACCCCTCTCTCCCTTGCTTGCCTTCTTTCCTGGGGCTGTCCGACCATTCGAGTAGGCAGGAGATGTTGAGGGAGCTGGGGGAGATGGATGTGAAGGCGTTGATGGGGAAGGCTGCTGTCTTGCAGGGGGTGTGGAAGAACCTCTGCGCACTCGGGATCGCGCGGGCGAGCGTATGGAGGCAGCTCGGGGAAGCGTGGTCCTTTGTCACGGGTATCATTGCCGGGCACGGGCTTTTGGTCGGGGGGCAAGTGAGGAGGAGCGAGCAACGAGGAGCGAAGAGCGGGGCGGAGGAAGTGGCTTGGGAATGGGTGGGGATGATGAGGGAGAGGGAGAGGGTTGCGAAGGAGGAGTGGGCTAGAGGTACGGGTATGGGGGCGCAATAGGATGACGGGCTCGTGGGGAGAGTTGGGGGTGATAGTAGATTAGACATTTTATAGTATTTTTCTTCTCTTTTTCGAGTACAGTAGTCTAGTTGTAGCCGATGATATGTATACCTGCACACAAGCAATGATCATTGAACGTAACATGATCAGCGAGCATGGTCGATGCACAACTATTGGATTCCCAATTCCAAGTGATATACATGATCTAAACAGGATACAAAAAGAGACATAAGAAGAGACAACTCGAACAATACAGCAATCTTTACAGGAGATCTCTCATGGCCGAGGCGTCGTTAAGATCATCCAGACAGCTAGGAGCATCGGAAGATGGCGATATACTATCCGGAAGTGATGGAGAGGATAAGTGTGACCGAGATGAAGGGGTAGTTGAGTGATATGCCCCCGAGCTGATCTCTACCAGGTGCGTGTTGGATTATCGTTTCTTTCCGGAGCAGCAACCCAATGCTCACCATCTAGAAGACCTCGGCCGACGCTCCCTTCGAAACCGTCTTTATTTCCATCCTGCGGCGCTCCGAAACGCGCTCCTTGCCCCTTGCTACGCTATGCCCATCACCGCGGCTCACAAACCCTTCACTTTGCTTACTTGTGCTTTGACTTGTGCTTTGACTGTGCTCCGGACAGATACATGACAAGCTGTATCGTAGACTATGTTGACAACTATCATACTTATATGGTACAGTGTTACAGTGCGGGTGAGAGCGTATGGTTCGTTATTTTTCATGATATACACGGGCATCCGAATGCCGTTTAGCAAACGTTCGTTATAGACATGGAGGTGATTACAGCTGTGATTTGTTGTCAGAAAGCTGATACTTCGCAAGCAAGAAATGTCATACGCACTCTTCAAGCCTCGTTCCCCGTTCCCCGTTCCCCCTCTTCCCTCTTCCCTCCTCCCTCTTCCCTCTTCCCTCCTCCCTCTTCCTTCAAAGCTTCTCCCGCCTCCTTTCCGTGCCCCACGGCCGACTCTCGTTCCTCCTCTACGTGCCCAATGCCTGCCCTTCCCTCAGCGAGCCTTCGGAGGGCCGCTCTCAGAGCAAGGGCTTGCGCCCACGAGTGTGGAGGCTGTACCGGGTGTAGAGCCCGAACCATCGGTACGAGCTGTCCTCGTGGGCGAAGGACGTTCAGAGGCACCCGCGGTGCACCCGGAAAGGAGACCTTGTTCCTTGAGAGCGTCGTCGATTAGCTGGTCCATAGTGGACGACAAGACGGCTTTGATGGTAATGGAGGGGGGCAGGCTTTCGGTATCTACGTAATCCGCCCAGGATTCCTCGTCATCCTCGTCACTGTCGTTAGACGTGCTTGAGCCAGATGTCGATGGCGGTCGGGACGTCGGAGGTAGACGAGGGGCCGGGTCTAAGGCGAATGCCGGGTCGGCAGAGTGAGGTGCCCAGGATTTGACCTCTGCACATCGGGGCTTAGCTTATTGTCCTTCTCGAAAAGCACTGACTCACTGTCTAGAAAGTCTTGTCCGTCGTACTCTTCCACATTCTCTTCCACATCGTCTTCAAAGTTCTCTTGAAACTCCTCTTCCTTCGCTTGCGGCCCTCCGGACTTGGCCCCCGTAGCCTTTTCCCCGCCTTGACCACCACCACCGCCGCCGCCGCCCCGATATCCCCCATATTCCCCACTGCGCCCGTGATGACTGTCCTTGTGACCCTCATCTTTGTCACCCTCGCGCCCCCGATTATCTCCCTCTCCGTCGTCAGGATTGTGACTGCCAGAATCTTTAGGCGGCGAGGATGACGATAGAACATGCGCTTTGAAAGCTTCAAGAAATATTTTGACGTCGTGCTCATCGACCCTGTCCTTGGCGTCTCGTCGGGCACTGATGTACCAATGAATAGGAGAGCGAGGACCAGCCTTCACAATGGCAGCATCACTTTGTGGCGAAAGGTCGCAGAGAGTCGGAAAGCCGGAGTCTTGGCCTTGGGCTGAAGTAGAAGTGGGAGAGGGATCGTACCGCTTGCCAAGGGCCGCAGCGACTTTCATGTCAAGAGCAGATTCAAAGACGCGGGTGCTCAATTCTTCGAATTTTTGCAAGCCTTCCAAGTTGAGCAAAGGAAACGGGGCACCAACACCCAGCTGTTCGGCAAGCTGTGGATTGAAGGGAAGGAGCAGCGAGTGAGGTAGACTGAGGTAGTCAAACTCCTCGAAGAAAGAACCCGGGGAGGAATACTCTTGCCCGACGTTTGGGCAAGGTTTGCACTCCACGGCAATGTTGCCCTTGTCGTCGGTGACGAGCAGTCTGGCAAAGAACGGACCGCAAACGAAGAGACCGATCCTGGTTCCAAACTTCTCCCAAGCACGGTAGAGGTACTTGATCACCTGTGATAGCCCCTGCTGATATTGCTGCTTCGCCTGCCCTGGCGATACTTTGATCCACATGTCGGGACCAACCGGGAGTTGCTTCATCTCCACCACCATAAACACCGTATGATAATCTGAGTGCTCCCTTTTCAAGACTCGAAAGGGGTTTTGGGGGCTCCAGAGAAACGCATATGAGAAGTCGGTCTCGACCACATCCGTCGTAGACGAGGCTTTTGAGGTTGGCGCTTTTGATGACTGCGCTGCGCCCCCGTCCGCAGCGTCCGCCAACTGGCTGGCGCGACTCTTCTTCGACTCCCTCTGTTGCGGTGATTTGGTCTCAGGGTCGTTGGTGATTTTGTCTGTGAATTTCAGTCAGCAGAAGTGAGATGTGGGCATTGAAAGACGCACCTGCAATGTATTCCAAGGCTGGAGCAATCTCTCCATCCTTTTTGAACTTTTTGGTCGCTGAGTAGAGCGCATCCGCCACAGCAGACCGAGTGGGTTCCCTTTCAAGCGAGTACGGAGAGTGCTGATGTAATAGATTGCCGGCGAGACTGTGTGTAATCCCAACTTCACCCCTCAATCGTCTCGACGAATCGACGCGCACAAAGGCTTTCGGTCTCCTGCTGTCACTGAACAGCGCATCCTTGAGGTCCGCCTCTGGTGCCCCTCTTGCTACGATGCGCACCAGATCGAAGTATCTTTCGGATGCCACTTCCAAAGAAAGAGGCTCTGGCAGCTTAAGCCTCAAGAGCTCTTGGAGTCGACGATCGCTCCATCGCTCGAGACGCTCGTCTGTCGAAATCGGCGTGGGATTCCATGCACGACGGACATATCGGTCGAACTCTTCAAGTATCGCCTCGTCGAGAAGCGCAGGTTCCTGCGAGACGACCGGGGGAGAAGTCGGAGGTTGTTGCGGCTGCTTGGATTTGAATCTATTTGATCGCCTAGGGGCAGGCTCCAACGGTTGCTCGTGCTGACGTCCGTTAGCGATGATGGGAAGGACCTTTTCGGGGAATTGGGGACTGGCGCACCTCTTCGGTTGATGAAGACTGGTGCACCTCTTTGGGTGGCGGGGGCTGGCGCTGTTCATCGGGGCCAGCAGTGGATGCTGTGCCAGTCGCTGGCTTTGCAAAAATATGCTTGATCCAACTTCTGGTCTCACCAAAAAAAATTCGCTTCTTTGTCGGGTCGGGCCTTGCCCCTCGCTAGTGGTCATCTTCATGCATGGCGATGCGGTGCGAGTCTTCAAGAACTCGAGGTGGCGAGGTAGCGGGTGGGTTGTGGATGTGGGATGCAGAGACCAGGCCACCACGGGCACCACCACTGACGACGACATTCATTACGTAACTGCGCTCATCGCGTCGCGTGCCTAAGGTCGACAGGCGTCCTGCGCGGGATCAAACCTGCGTTCGTCTGCACTCAGCACAATCATCGCAGCACTTGACCTGCACTCACTTGACATCTGGCAATCTTGCTATGTTTGCCCCTCGAGAGCACCAAGCTGGGTCACCTACCACCTACGGCTCATTCTTCGACATCGATACTACCCTTCGGGGACAAGCGGAGACAGGCGCCGTGAGGGCCCTCTTCTCGGACCCAAAGATCCTTCGAAACGCGATCACTTCCTTTGGCTTGGCGCGCGATAACGAACACGGCGAACCAGATACAGTGGAGCCGCACGCAGATCTCCTCAAGCTATTGCTGAAATGGTACAGAATCATCTCAGCTTCCGAAATCAGAGAAGGGTTTAGTGAGCTTCACACTACTGGTGGATCCCTTTCCCTCTTCGATGCCAGAGTACGGCAAGATGATGGTCGGGACAAAATATTTCGGCAGACCTTACACTTTTCTGAATTTGTCAATTGGTCAGGCGAAAACAGCAAGCTCTTCGGCCAAGACGTCAAAGGCAGTGTTGGACGTAAAGAAGGGGTCATCAAGCCAGATGGGGGCATTTCTGCTAGTGTTGTCTGCACATTTGATGTGAGTTCAGCCCCTATCAGTGCAAGGCCGCACTGACGTACGGCCTCAAGCATATCGACGACAAGCCTACCCTCGTCGACGGCGAGTTTGTCATGGAGCCAAACGAGTACTTGACGTCCCTTGGAAACGTGACAGCCGGTCTTCGTACCAAGTACAAGCTGAAAGACAACGAGGTGCTCTACCACATCGTCTGCATTGTGATAGAAATAAAGCCCCCAATCGTTCGCGAAATGCTCCTTATCGCCCAGACCTCATGCTATGCTGGAGGCTACCATGATGTCTGTGGAACCAGCTACGGTTACGCAGGTCGCGGTCCGAAGGCGTATCGCCTTCTGGTCTTGGACAATGCCATCGTCTTCGAGGGCAAGTCTGATGACGGAGTAGAGGTTGTTGGGGACTTTGACATGCTGGAAAAAAGGTTGAAAGAGGGTAGCGTCAAAATTGGAAGGTCCTTCCTTGTCAAAGATAGCGAACGCGAAGATGGGCTGGAGGGCGAAGATGGGCTGGACGACAAAGTGGTCAAAGACGTCAGAAAGCTGTTTGTCGCTGCAATCAAGCAGCTCAAGACAATTCTCCGCAATGGCCAGCCTTTGAGGCGGCTTCCCAGCCCCAGGGGGAAGACATGGACAGCCTTGAAGAACACGGTGGAGACTTTCAGGTTTGAAAATGCCGTGACTCAGCCCAGACGGTTCTTTGAAGGGGCGCGTTTGTCAAAAAAGAAGGTGGCTGAACTTCAAAAGTTGCGCGAACGCAAGGGAAATTCTGCGTCTGCGGAGAATGCTGAAAGGGGGCCGAGGGCAGAGGACTCTGATTTCGTGGCTCCTCCAGAGGGAGCCGAGTCGACCGAAGTGAATGCGGACGCGCAGTCAAGGACCGACATCGATTCCAAAAGGCCGACACGAACCAGAAAGAAGACCAAGCAGCAATCTGTCAACGACCCCCCTCCGAAAGTTCGGCGCAATCGTTCGCCTTCCCCTGGCGGCGGTGGGCAGGGCCCCTCAAAGGGCCGCTCCACAGGAAACCAGGCCACTCGGGCCGGTCCGTCTGCTACAACCTCGAGTGCTACTAAGGAAGGCGGTCAGCGCGGGCGCGGGGCCAAGGCAGCGGGTAAGACCGTTGGGCATAGGGTTGGCAACGTCAGGGAGAGCGATGACAATACAGCGAATGTTTTGAAAGGGAAAGACAGTTTCGAGAGCGCCTCTTCCAAAGGTGAATACCTTGAGCTCAGGGAGCGCAGGCTAGGGTTCACTGTGCTGATGGTCTGTCTCAGAGGAAATCCAAACGCCTCATGGATCAATCATCATCAATCCCGTGATAGCCGGTACTTATGGCGATGATGATGTCGAAAATACAGGTGAGGTACCCAATATCTCTCAGTACTAGTGACTGATATACATCTGCAATAGAATATGATCCCCTGACCGCTTTTAATCTCCAAAACATCAATTCCTACATGCCTAAATTGAACGCTGGCGAAAAAGTCCGATCGTTCCATGAGTCGATGCTTATGGACCCTGTAATGAACGGTGGTCAAACACGTCATATTGCCCTTCCCGAGATTCAAAGCATCGAGGAGGAAATGCCAAAAAAGACTGCCAGTGAGCCGTTGTGTTTGACTCCAATTGTTGAGGTCAGAGCTAATTGTTGTACCAGGTGGCATCATGGAAGACGACATTATCGACGAGGAAGACAATGGCAGTTTCGACCGTGCGCCCTCAGCGGTCTATGATGACCCCTTGGAAGAGTCTATGCTCGGTGATGCTGAGAAACGCCGATCGTTCAATGAGAGGATACAATTACTCGCCGCTCGGTCTGTTCTCAGGCAAGCAAATACTATCTTTGTCATTGCTAGCAAAGAGATCTTCAACAGGTGCCTTGACGAAGCCATCAAGTTTGTTCACTTGTATGTCCATGCTATCGGGCTCAGGCTGACTCAGTCGCGCAGATGAGTTGAAAGTACATTATATCGATTGTTTCACTCGCCATATGACCCAGGTAGCCATCAATTGTACAGTACGAAATACACGATTTTTCACGTAACTTTTCTACACGAAACGAAGTACCATGACCACTTTATAGCGAGCGCATGCATAGGTGTGCAGCATCTACTCCTCTCTTATTGAAAACAAGAACATGTGGAATGTCACCATATGACATGCGGCATACGCACGATTGTAGCTAGGATGACGCTGTAGGTTGCACAGTAACATGACCCAACCGCCCAGACGCCCGAAGAACATCAGCTTTGAAATTTGAGCTCTTCGCGGCTTGTACTGTAGAGTACTGTTGGTGTTTCAGCTGCCCGAATACGCTGTTAGCATTCCATAGCCGATCGTTTCTCCAACATAAGCTACTATGCCAAGATGCATGCACACAAAAACCTTTTCACTGTCTGACTTGTCTTCTTGTATTGACTTCTACTGCTCGTACTGTACGAGTATGACTGATGCGTCTTATAAGCATCCCCAACCTCCATGGTCCAGCGTCATTTCCAACCTCCTCGCCGTGACATGCGGGATAGCATGCGTTAGCCACATCTTTCTCAGCGTATCCATCCGCTCGAGATGCATGAATTGTCGATGACCACGCCTTGATTTCCATCAGCGACTGCAGATGACGCCACAATCGGGAACTCACCTCATAGATACATCTAATCCACCATGCGCGTCGAGTCAGGGCATGGATGCGAAACTACCAGAGCCAGCGTAGGAATAGAGCAGGCTCCAGCGTCTTATATCGGCAAACATGCCGACTACAGCACCACATCTAGCCAGACTTGTTAGCATTGTCACCACCCCACGACCCTCAATGACTTACTCTCTCATATGCAAACTACACTCCCCTTGCTCCCCTTGCAAGCAGCAATCGCCCGCCAGACACGCCAACGACCACAGAACAGGCAATCGCTGGCCAGATCGGCTTCGTTTTACACTTCTGACACTTCCTGTTTACCATTGCTAACACCGGATCTTCCCACTCTTCCGCTAACCTCACCAGCTCGTACGTCCTCCAGTAGCGCATTTGGCCATGATAGCTTTTTGCCTTGCAGCCGCCGAAGCCTTGGAGTCTGGCTTGGCCGGGCGTGACAGAGCGATAGGATTCTCGCTCTCCTTGTGAGCGCGATAGTCGGCCGTGTAGTGGGGCGGTATGTTGGCGACGATAGTATCCAGGATGTAATCCACCCTGGCTCTGAACGGCTGGAACGCTGCGTCAGACTGCATTACCCAAAGTTTTTGGAACGTGCTGTTTGTCCCTTCCGAACCCTTCAGATAGACCGACTGTTGTGCAAACTCTTGAGCTTTCACACTGAGAGCAAGCATGGACAGGTGCAGGGCGTAGTCGAGAACCAAGTCCCAGGTGGGTATCACAGGACTACTGGTGTGATCCTGTGGAAACGCGGACTGGACAGCATCGGCCCACTGTTCCAGAGTCGCGATGTGCATGGAGTGCGCAAACGCCCAGTGGACTATGTCGGCGACCACATGGGTACCCAGGAAGTCGGCGGTAGTGGAGAATGCTGGCCAGAGTCAGGTAGCTTTAGCGGAAAGCGGAAGAGGTTGAATGAGAGGCTCGTCTTTCAAGCCGCTCAGTCTCTTTGCGCGAATAACAAGCTTGTCGGTGATCGCACGCTGGTCATTACGGGAGTAGTATTTCCAGTAAGGATCCACCTCGTTGTACATCTCGTCCTTGAGACACTGCACTGTCCAGGGGCACTCTCTGTCAGGCTCCTGAAGTTGGCCACCTCCGACAAGATGGGCGAGCAGCTGGTCTCCTGTGATCTTTCTGGGAGTTTCGATTTCGGTATATCTCGGAATAGGTCATAGGCTGGACAGCCAAGAGATGAATGATCGACTTGCGCGTCAATACACACCTATCCCAGCTGTTGATGAAGACAGGGTACGTCGCCAGCTGGATCACCAGCAGCAAGAAGTCTTCTAGCAGATTGATCTTCTGCTTGGGCTCGAGGTTCTCATCGTACCACAGTGTGGGGTCCGTCACACTGTCCTGAAAGTAGTCTCCTAGGCCGAAGCGGTCGATGCAAGCAATCATGAGCTCGAGAGGGTAAACAACGCAGAGGCTGACTTGAAGGAGGAACAGCGCGAGGAACAGCGCCTGGTCGATGGTCGAATCACGAACAGACACGTCACAGTAGTGGTGGTGCTGCAATCTCAACGCCGAGCCGTTCTTCTTCCACATGTTTGCGCGACTTTGAGCAAACACGACATGCTCTGCAAAGAATCAGTGTCGTCCAACTGTCGAACTCGTAGAGACTCACTTTGAAGCGGCCACTCCGACATCATCAACTTCATTCTCTCACAACTCGCCTTATCTCCTCCTCCAAACACAAACTTTCCCACAACTTCCACAAAGCCCATTCCATTCACCTTTGCATCTACCCACGTGATTGCCGTCCTCATATTCTTCATCATCCCTGCAAAGAAATATTGAGATGATGGTGAAAGTTGAAGGCGTCTATGGCGGAAATGTCTTGTTTGATGACAACGGCGCTGGAGCCAGAGACAAGGACGTTGTTGACGGTATGTTGGGTTATACAGAGGCATCGCTTTTTGTCGAGAATGTTGGATAGAGAAAACATGTCACAGAAGATGCGATTCGCATCAACCAGGGACATGCTCTGTAGCAGAGCATCTGGTGGAAGCAACAAAGAAAATATCTCCCATATCTCGACAGGGTCCGGACAAGTCACCCAGAACGATGAATGATCTCAACCATTCAATCTCATACTCGATGTGCCCTCCCTTTTGGCGTCTTTGAGGCTGGATACCCACAAAGATGATGATGAAGCCAAGGAGTCTGTTGAAGAGTTGATTCTGCTTGACAATCACTCGCCTAGTCTCGTCATGTTTGATAGTGCTTCTGATATGTCTGATGATCGCCAGACCCTTCTTTCCTGCTACCGAAAACGCCGGAATCTCCGAATCTAATCTCCTCTTCTGCGCCTGATCTACCTTGTCTAGACTGACAGGTGGTATGACCAGCCGGACCACTCCATCTGTAGTCACAACTTGGCCCGTATACCATTGCGCTACTTGGACGATGTTGAAGAGTAGATTGTCATGGGCAGTGGCGTAGGCTGCAGCGGGACCATTCATTGAGGGCAACGTAGCCAGATGAGAATAGGATGTTGGTGTCGAATTCGTGGTCTTGGAAGAGGGAATGTTCGGCGATTCTGGGATAGTTGAGGGCAAAGCGACAAGCTATAAAGTATGAGCACTCGTAATATCCGCATACAGTGTATCTTACCAAATGCCTTGTTGACTTCTTGGTCATTCAAGAATATCAAGCAATATATCTGTCGCATCTGCCATTGGGGGTCAAGCTGTAGCAACCGATCTATCCTTTCGATCTCTTGCAATTTTCCTAGTATCTTGCCATTCACGAGATCATTCAAATCCGGTGTCAGAGGGGAGGAGCCGCGGGAGAAAGAACTAGTTTCTCAAAGCGGGCGTTTGCGAGCAGGCGTTTCGATAAATGATCGTCGCCTCCGATGATGGACGCTCGCACGTCGTATAGCCATTCGATCAAGACGGCAACTATCTCTTATCTAAAGAGATCTGCAGCGGGGCGCAGAGGGCGTCCACTTGATGGAGCATGTTGGCGGCATGGAATGCCACTACTGGATTTGGCGATGCCAGTATGACTTTGAGACCCTTTCTGGGAGTCAGCAAGGAGAAAATCAGTCGCGATGCACTTACTACAGTGTCTGCATCTCTCGCCCAATGCTCGGCCACTTCCCACTTGACTCCCAATCCATCCCTAACCTGCCCAGCAAGCTCCTTCATCACATGTTTACCGTCGCGCCACATCATAACCGCCCATGGCCACTTGCCCCATCTCTCTCTCGGTTCTCCGGTGGGACGATTGGTGAACCGCATTTCCTACTCCGTCTTTGGCAATTGTCCATAGTCGGCGGGGAGATTACGTGTATGATGTACTCTACACATATGGCGATGGTCTTTTGTATGTAGTGCGATGACAAGCCCGTCGGGGACGTCCAACTCTGATGGCGTGGGTGGGTTGGTCTCGCCGAGAGGGAGCGTAGGATAATAGGAGCATCCGAGATGTTGATCATCGCAAAGTGCGGTAGGGTCGCCACAGTCACAGCATGCCGAGAAGGAGAAGGATTGATGACGAAAGAGAATGTTGTGGCCTTCATGATCCCCTGCCTTGAAGCAACCGACGCATAGTGAGACTGCGGACGCTACAATGTCAGGAGTTGTCTGGCAGTGTACCAGATGTGACTCACTTGCAAGTATATGTCTTATTATGCCTCTGAAAGAACTTGCCGCACTCCGCCGTCGCTGGGTGTCAGCACTCAGCAGCAGGGATATAACTGTATATATTTAGTTATACTCACGCGCACGTGTAGCATTTGGTCCCCTTATGTTACGTAACTACTTGACTGCTCCAGCGTACGCGACGTATATGTATTATATTAGTAGCTAGTAGCTAGAAGAAGATCACGCGCACTATGGGAAAAGTCCGCTGGCAGTGTCCTGGCGAAGGCCCTCGCCAGGGGGGCCTGCACGCGTCAGAAGCAGGCCAGACCGCCTGAATCTCGGAGGAGGCCCGCCAGGTGCCCGCCAGAGCATGTGCTTTATGCACGTCGCGTTCGCGTACTGGGCGCCCCTTGGATCTTGGTGGGCTCTTTCTGGCTCGTTCTCTCCAGCTATCGACCTTCCATCGTGTTCTCTCGTCTTCACGCTATGCATATAGATACTTTAGGCCTATATTCTCTCCATCCCGCCCTCTATCATCCGAACAACAACGCCACCTCCCGCTCCTCTCCTACCATGCCCGCTCCCACTTCCACTCCGATTGCTGCCCAGTCCCGCCCCCGCTCTGCCCCTTCTCTCGTTCGAACGTCGTCCCCCCTTCCCCTATAAGCCTCCAATGGGTCTGCGACAGCTCCCTCTGAGGCGAGCCGTACTACTCTCCACATGCCCACACCCAGGCAGCCGACCTTCCGCGACTCGTCTCCAGAACTTTAACAATCTCTGCCCGACCTGGACCGAATACCCGTAGCTCCTCCCTTTGACACCTTTTTGCCGACGTTGAAGGAATACCTCAAGCAGAATCACAGCGCCCTCTAGGACCTCGTTTGCCGTCACCTGAAGAAGCCGCCTTTTCTCGAAAATGAAAACATTCTGGGGCTTGCTGTCTTGCGGGGCGATGAGCGCAGGGCCGAGTACGAGAGGAAGCTTGCAGAATTGCTGGAGACGCGCCCTTGCCCGCGCACTCTATTGGAGGAGGTTGACTTTGGTGACCCGACTGGAGATGAAGACGAGGTGAGCGTGGATGACCGGGCAGACGGATCTGGAGAGTCCTTCTGGGAAGGCAGCGTGTTGGATTCTAGAGAGTAGCTTAGTTACACAAATTTGAGGATTCAACGTTCATAGTATCGAGTTGCCAAGACGATTGAACCGAGACAACGTTACTCACCAGACTCCAACCCCTTTCTACGCGTTCCACTTGACTTGCTGTGGATTGAACATGTCTAGTACATCATTCTAGACTTCATGGATAAGATGCAATTTGTTTATATATGCTGCTTGTTGTCTGCTCAGAACGGGGTCGAATGAGTTCAGGAAGGCATACTCTGGTCACGGGCGTACTGACAAGCATAGACGTTTCACCAGACGGAAGCGCGCATGAGACCTTGAGAAAAGCGATTGGGCTGAGGGTCGAGATGGTTCGAGCATGGATTTAATGAAATTTCATAGGCGACAGCTTGGTGGCCGACAGCGTCTCGATGTCCAACGTTTCCCTTGCATTCGCCATCAGCAATTGAACGCATGCAAGACATAAACTCACTCGAGACAGTACTGAAAGGCCGAAGGCGGTGGTTGCAAACGAACAAACAGCCGCATGCAGGCCCACAAAGTTCTGGAGCCAACAGAGCCATCTTCCGGATTTCGACAAGTCCGAGACACTATTGCCCATATGATAGCTTTGGCGCCCACTTCGGGTCGATGGTCATCAGCAAAGTGGATAATAGGGTTCCGGATGTCGATGCATGAACGAGAGTTGATGATCTCGGGTAGAGTGACTAGTGTAAGTCCAATTTTGAAGGCGGATCTACGGGGCAAAACGTGTGACGCCGTACAACTATTTTGTGATGAAAGTCGAACTCGTCCGGACCTGGGTATTTTGGAGAATTGGTAGAAGAGTCCGATGATTTGATTTTGAGAGGACACGGGCGTCACTTTGCCAGTCGAGAGCAAGTCTATCGAGAAGTCTTGGTCCAGACCACTGTTGTCGTACAGACGAAGATTAGCTACATCTTCTGCGTCATCCCGATGTTCGGAGACAACGCCGTGGGACATGAAGGCACTGATAATAGTACTCTTGTCGCTAATCCTACCCTCATCCCAACCGGCTTCATCTTCGGGGACGCCACTATCTTGGCATAGATCTTGGTCCAGATACTGTTGATGGATGTTTAAGAGTAGACCTCTGGCGAAGAAGCGCACGAAATTGCAGGACTTGCTCCTGATAGACATTGCGTCCACTGGTATTGATCTTCTTGACCCGCCCGTTCAAGCGCTTCGTGGGTTGGGCCGTGCTCCAGGATCTCCTCGGGCTGCGGAAGTTGGTTGTAGATTAGAGGAGTAGCGGGTGGAGCTCAAGGACAATCTCTTTGGAAATCGCTGATTACAGTCTTCAGGCGATTGATCTGGGTTTCGGATATGCTTGACAAGAATATTCGTTTGATGATTGTAAGAAGCTTGAGGGCAGCGACCAACTCATGCTCCGGTAAAGCATCCGATGTTGACTGAGACTCTGCCCATAACCAAGGAAAGACCGAAGGCCCGACAATCTCGCCGAAGGTACGCCATTGTGCGGCAGACAGCTTTGTTGTAAAAAACTTCTTCCCAAGCTGGGGTAGATAAGAGGGTGCAATGACCTGCGCCATCATCTTTTCAAGACAAGTTTGCCGGTCCTTGCGGATGATAAGTGGACCGTCGCCGGGAGGAATTTTGGCCCCGTCACCAATACCTTCATCGCCTCCACCGCCTTGTTCGTCCTCTTCGTCTTCACTGTCCTCCTCCTCAAAAACCTCAGGCCTGACACCCTTCACGTAGTCATCCGTTATAATCCACCGTTGCTTTTCCACTTCTGCGCAGAATCGCCCCTTCATCAGGACACGCGGGGCACATTAAGGTAGTATACCTTCGAGGGCGTTGTGCATGGGATCGCCAGTAGCGAGGACCTTGTCGAAATGGAGAAGAAGTTCGAAGACGGAAAGATGTCCAGGGGTCCGGAATATGCTTTTGCGAAGATCTTCAACAGCCTTCTTTTGCGCAAGGAGGACTTGGCCAGCGTGTTGACAGATCCAGCTTGATTTAGAATTCTGAGGAAGCTCTTTGACCTCTTGGAGAAAATTCCGCCATCGCAGTGAGGAGGCTCTGTTGTATATCCCCCATGATATACTCCTGATCGCGCACATCATTGCGCGCCTTGCTGAGCCCTTCCTGAACCGCGATGTCAATGATGACGGCGATAATATACAGCGCCATATCTCCCATCCTCTGACTCAGGCCGCCAAAGACAGTGAGAGTCGCTATCAGTGTTGCCAGCGACCGACAGAGGAATGACATCTTCTTTCCTCCCGCCCCCTGCACCTCCCGAAAAGGGTTGCGCAGCCGCTGGGAGACCGAAGGGACAAGGGACGTGGGTATGTCAAAAGGGATTCTGGCGACGCAATCCGTGAATAGGTCTGTTTCGGAAGGCAGGTCGACATTGTCAGGTGATCCGTCCCAGAAATCATCGGGGGGAAGAGCAGGGGGACCCATCTCATTATCCGGGCCCTCCATATCCACGTCTTCGCCCATAGCGCACCCATAGCGAGATCGGTAGAAGGACCAGGTTCTGGGTCCAAAGGGAGAGACTGCACGTTACTCGAAGAGCAAACGGAGGGGTAGACATTGGTGGTGGTGGTGAGGGATAGAGGGGATGGGATAGAGGGGATGGTGTATAGCCGTTGGAGGGGCTGCTTGCCCGGCGGTCTATAGAAGACGTGCGCGCTGCTTCCGAGGCTTGTTGCTGCTGTTCCCAGATGAGCTCTGAGTGTCGATGGAGTTGCCAAGCCCTGTATTGAATGATGCGGCCTTTGGGGGGGCATTCTGGGCATCTGCACCGTATCCTGGTCCGTTGCGTCTGGCGGAAAAATCAGCTGTTGAGTTTATATAGCCTGTTATGACTCACAATATGCGAACCATCAAACGTTATACTCTCCCCTTCTAGCACATCCGTGTCGGCATGTCCTTTTCTGGTGGCACAAACCGTCAGCACAAGTAGAGATATACATGGGACTCTTCGACGCACCTGAGAGTTCTTGGGGAAGTCATTTCCGTTGTTCTTCTGGACAAACTTTCCTAACCATTCTGCTTTCTGACTTTGAGACTTGAGTCAGCAGTGACGTGGTAAGCACCAAAATGTACGCACACTTCGAGCCTGAAAGCCTTATTTGAAAGCTGCACTGCCCTGAGGAGCGTGAGAGGAAGGGAAGATAGCCATATCGTCCTGGTGTTGTTGATCGGTCGGCCGGAGTAACCGCCTGATGGTGATTGCTGTGGGGTATAGCGAGAATAGGATTAGCTGGATGAGATTGCCAAGTCCAGCGTCGATGTATGGAGAGTGGAACAATCGATCGGATATACTTTCAACTCATCTGCGCGACTGAGTCAGCCTGAGCCCGATAGCATGGACATACAAGTGAACAAACTTGATGGCTTCGTCAAGGCACCTGTTGAAGATCTCTTTGCTAGCAATGACAAAGATAGTATTTGCTTGCCTGAGAACAGAACGAGCGGCGAGTAATTGTATCTTTGTATTGAACGCTCGGCGTTTCTCAGCATCACCAAGCACGTACTCTTGGCAGGGATCATCATAGACCGCTGAGGGCGCACGGTCGAAACTGCCATTGTCTTCCTCGTCGATAATGTCGTCTTCCATGATGCCACCTGGTACAACTATCAGCTTTGACCTCAACAATTGGAGTCAAACACGACGGCTCACTTGCAGTCTGTTTCGGCACTTCCTCCTCGATGTTTCGAAGCTCGGTAAGGGCATTATGATGTGCTTGACCACCGTTCATTACAGGGTCCATGAGCATCGACTCATGGAGTGATCGGACTTTCTCGCTTGCGTTCAATTCAGGCATGTAGGAACCGATGTTTTTGAGATTGGAAGCGGTCAGGGGATCATAATCTATTGCAGATGTATATTAGTCACTAGTACTGAGAGATATTGGGTACTCACCTGTACTTGCGACATCATACTCGCCATAAGTACCGTTAGGTGTTCGGACTTCCTCTAAAACAGACCATCAGCACAGTGAACCCTAGCCTGCGTTCCCCGAGCTCAAGGGATTCACCTTTGCAAGAGCCGCTCTCGAGACTGTCTTTCCCTTTCAGAACATTCGTTGTATTGTCATTGCTCTCCCTGACGTTGCCAGCCCTATGCCCAACGGTCCTACCCGCTGACTTGGCCCCGCGCCCGCTCCGGCGCCCGCGCTGACCGCCTTGCTTTGTAGCACTCGAGGTTGTAGCAGACGGACCGGCCCGAGTGGCCGGGTTTCTTGTGGAGCTGCCCTTGGTGGGGCCCTGCCCACCGCCGCCAGGGGAAGGCGAACGATTGCGCCGGTCTTTCGGAGGGGGGTCGTTGACAGATTGCCGCTTGGTCTTCTTTTTGTTTTGTTTCGGCCTTTTGGAATCGATGTTGGTCCTTGGCTGCGCATCCGCATTCACTTCGGTCGACTCGGCTCCCTCTGGAGGAACTTCGAAATCAGAGTCCTCTGCCCTCGGCCCACTTTCAGCATTCTCCGCAGACGCAGAATCTCCCTTGCGTTTGCGCAACTCTTCAAGTTCAGCCACCTTCTTTTTTGACATACGCGCCGCTTCGAAGAACCGTTCGGGCTGAGTCACGGCATTTTTGAACTCGAAATCCTTCACCTTGTCCCTCAAGGTTGTCCATGTCGGTCCCGTGGGGCTGGGAAGCCGCCTCAAAGGGCGGCCATTGCGAGGAATTTTCTTGAGCTGGTCGATTGCAGCGACAAACAGCTTTCTAACGTCTTTGACCAATTCGCCGTCCAGCCCATCTTTGTCGCCCAGACCGTCTTCGCCTTCGCTATTGTTGCCAAGGAGGGACCTTCCAACCGTGACACTACCTTTTTTCAACCTTTTTTCTAGAGTGTCGAAGTCCCCAACAACCTCTACTCCGTCATCAGACGTACCTTCGCCCTCGAAGACGATGGCGTTGTCCAAGACCAAAAGGCGATACGCCTTCGGGCCACGACCTGCGTAACCGTAGCTGGTTCCACAGACATCATGGTAGCCTCCAGCATAGCATGAGGTCTGGCCGATAAGGGTCAATTCGGGAACGATTGGGGGCTTTATTTCTATCACAATGCAGACAATGTGGTAGAGCACCTCGTTGCTTTCCAGCTCGTACTGGGAACGGAGACCAACTGTCACGCTGTCAAGGGACGTCAAGGACTCGTTTGGCTCCATGACAGACTCGCTGTCGACGAGGGTAGGCTTGTCGTCGATATGCTTGGGGCCGTACGTCAGCGCGACCTTGCACTGATAGGAGCTGAACTCACATCAAATTTGCAGACAACACTAGCAGAAATGCCCCCATCTGGCTTGATGATTCCTTCTGCAGGTCCAACTCTGCCTTCGTCGTCTTTGCCGAAGAGCTGTTTGTTTTGGCTTGACCAATTGACGAATTGAGCAAAGTGTATGGTTTGCCGATACGTCTTGTCCCGACCATCATCTTGCCGTACTCTGGCATCGAAGAGAGAAAGAGATCCACCAGCAGTGTGAAATTGACTAAACCCTCCTCTGATTTCGGAATCTGCGATGGTATGGTGCCATTCCAGCAATCGCTTGAGGAGATCTGCGTGCGCCTTCACTGTGACCGCTTCGGTGTGTTTGTTCTTGCGCGCCAAGCCAAAGGAGGCGATCGTGTCGTGAAGAATCTCCTGGTCCGAGAAGAGCGCCTGCACGGCGACTGTCTCCTCTGGTCCCCGAAGGGCAGTATCGATGTCGAAAAATGAGCCGTAGTTCTCAGGTGGCCTAGGTTTTCGAGAGACAAAAAACATGGCAAGTTTGCCGGATGTCAGGTGCAGGTCAAGTGCTGCGATGATTGTGCTGAGTGCAGACGAACGCAGGTTTGATCCCGCGCAGGACGGGACGCCTGTCGTTATGCGGTCGGTCTTCCGCCAGCTCTTTTTCTGCGTCGTCCACAGGATGCTGGGGTACTACACCTCAAAACGCCGCAAGTCCTCCTCGCTCGCTTCTCCCCCATCCGTCATCCTCCAGTCCCCCGCATACGCCGACGCCATCCACGACTCCCCCGCATCCACCTCCTTCGCTTCTCCCCGACTACAACAAGCCAGCCCGCCTTCCTCCTCTCGAGATCGTAGCCACTCGCCCAATGCTCCGATAACGCCTGTGGGGGGCCATATTGGGCTGCGGCATACGTCGCCTGATGGGCCGGGTCGGCTGGTGGCTGCAAAGGACTTTGCGAAACCCCCGCGGTCTGACCCTGTTGCTCAAGATGGTCCAAGTGCCAAAGAGCTACCCAGTATCCACCAAGACAAAGACCGGAGCACGCTCAACTCAGAACCTTTCACTCTCCTGTCCGAACACACCACCTCCCGCTCGACTCTCCCGACCCACGCCCCTCCTCCGCGGCCAAGCAGGCCTATAGACGTTAAGAGTATACCGCCTGCAAGCGTGCACGACGCCTATGTGTCGGGGTTCATCAAGCCGTCCGTGGCGCTGGATATGGGGGTAGGGGGAGAGCAACATCGGCCTTCTATCCATCGGTCGTCCTCTGCACCGGGGGAAGCGAACCATGCTCTATTACCCTCCGCTTTACCGCAGAGTCCCGAGAAGAAGAAGGCGTCGAAAGCCGTGATACCACAGCCTGTATTCGAGATCTTCAACGCGGAGATATCTGAAGATGGGGACAATCTCTGCCGCAATATGCGAGGCTATCTGGACAAGGCGTTCAAAGGGCAGGAAGAGGTTGCAAGGATGCACTTGGCTCTGGAAGCGCTGGGGGAGAACGATGATCAAGTGGGGAAAGAGAACAAGGAAGGGGGGGATGAAGCAAAGGTTGAGATGTCGCTCGAAGCTCGAGAGAAGGGCGTGGACGAGATCATGCAAAAGGTGAGCTTCCCATTCGCTTTAGCACCCCACGACTGACATGCCGCCAGCTTGATGCTCTATCAGACTCTCTACGCACGTACCACGATCTAGGGACTCCTAGACTATCCTTCCAACACCCTCACCCGCAAGGATTCAGACCACGCACAAATACCGTCGACATCGGTACCCTCTCCCAACATCCCACTTTCGACTTCCCGCACGACGCCCCAGCAGAAGAACAAAATTCTCCTCAGACGACCACTTCTCAGAGACCTTCCCCACCGACGTTTGTCCGCTCGCATTCAGACGTCGAGCTGTCTCCGCTGTCCAAAAACCCGGCACGTATAAAGTCGCCTTTGCGAAACGCATTCATCCCGAGCTCGGCGGTCGTCAGTGATGAAGAGGATGAAGTCTCTTCTGAAGCGCCAAAGCTTCCAAGAAGGGGGCCGAGTGCCAACCTTCCGCCATTGCGGCTTTCCAGGGAACCCAGTCTTGACGATGTGGGGAAAGGCAAGGGGAAGGAAAAGCCAAAGACATTTTGGGAGAGAGAGCAGGAGATGGATAGGCAGAAGGCGAATAAGCAGACGTGGCTTGAGGATGTTGGTGGTGGCATGACGGATAGTCCGGTGGAGATGGGAACGAGGGGACAAAAGCCGTTCTAGAGGCGTTGGATAACGTTTTTGAGATGCGCATTGCGCTGTTGTTGTATGCATCTATGTATAAGAAGCTCGTCGTCAAGATCCAGTGTTGCTTGAGGTCCATCCGTGATGCCTTCGCGTTGTCTAGCTCGGTCTACGAAAGAATGAAAACGATATTGGAACGACGGACAAAGTCGACGAGCTTCGGCGTACCGTCGGACACAGCCGAAAGCTCGCGCGTTATTGCGTCACCACTTGACTCGACTTATCGATCACTCAACATCGACTCAGCAACGATGACTCGACAACTCGATGGGGTCGCAAGGGGGCGATATGGCGCATGTCAAGAAAGATGAGTCGCCATAGACAGTATGGCCTGCCGACGGATCCACTGATCATGATGGCCTTACTGATTACACGGCTTTCAGCCGCCCCTTCATTTGGCCTCCTCTCGGCCCCACTTTGGCAGTCATGGAAGCACAGAATTGCAGGGGGGAGTAAAGATAAAGAGGAGGGGAGGGAAGAGAGTCAAAGAGTTGTGTTTGAAGTCTCTGTCCCAACACCCAGCCTTTCTTATATACATGAATGAGTGACGAGACGATAGACGGAGCGAATACGAGGTACGACTACGGCACGAAGCGGATAAGGGTACAAATTGACCAGCGAAGCGTACGAGAAGGCTCAAGACAATATGAAAGAGGAGACGGGTGGAGGAAAGTAAGGGTGGCGAACATGGGCCTGTCGACGTACGTTGGACAGCCTTACTAGAAGAGAAGGAGAGGACGAGAACGAGAACGAGAACGAGTAACGAGAACGAGTAACGAGAACGAAGACCGAGGCAAAGACGGAGGCGAGCAGAGCTACAAGTAAAAAGAGTCCATGGGGCGTGCAGGCGCCAGGTACGCTACAGAGGGGGGTGAGCTGCTTGGTGCGGGAGGTATAGGCGCGTTTGGCAGCTTGGAACGTATTGTTCATGAACTCCGCAACCGTCATGCGGCCCACACCCCAAGGGACAGGGGTGATGAACGAAGCGACCTTGGAGGCGGATTGGATTCGATGAGCTTGATAGCGCCCGCAGGGGCACAGGGCGTAAAGTGAGGCTCCGAGATCCGGCTGGAGAGGAGTAGATTAGTAGATTTTGGGATGACGGGTGCGCGAGCCTAGGAGACCGATGTTTTTGGGGTGGAAGTCGTCGACGTCCTTGTGTAAGGATCCAGTGGTCATGTCCTGGGGCGCGAGTTACCAAGTCCAAATACCAACATATGCATCATGATTCCAGGGTTGAATTGTGATGCAATGGCTTTTGCCGCTCATCCAGGTAATCGATCTTACTTGGTATTTAGGTATAGTACTTTACGCCTTGGACATGTCGACCGCGTTAACGACGCTCTTCTCCTCCTTGTCGTCCTGATGAGCCTTCTTATAAGCTTCAATCACGGGCCTGACAATATGCCCCTTGCGCGCACCAAATTCGTGAATCTCTGCGACCCTCTGGCCAGACCCTTCGGCGGTCTTGTGGATGTAGGTCACCTGCGTGGGGTTGAAGCTGGGATAGAACTCGACGACGTGGGGCCGGAGGATGGTGGGGTCGATCGCTTGGATCTCGGCGATGGATTTGGAGATGGCGGTGCGGAGATTCCTGCGATGTGTGAGCTGGGTTGGGAGAGGAGGAGAAGGAGGGACGTACTTGGCGTTGGCGATGGCAGTGTCGTCGATGGTTTTTGCAGTGGCGGAAGCCATCTCGACGTCGGACATGTTGTGGAGGCGGGCAGTAGTAGAGAGCGGTACACGGCATGAACGACGCGGGGACCCCGGGCCGCTCATCTCCTCTTGCATCCGAGTCTCTCTTGATTTCCCCTATATTCGACTATATCCCTGCATCCTCCACACCCACCATGGATGTCACCAAGGCCGTACAGACGTACGTCTTCAAGATGATCAACCAGGTCTCTGGCATGAAGGTCCTGCTCCTCGATGCCCATACTGTACGTATCCCTCTCCCGTCTCATCACCATGCTCATGCGTCCATGTCCAGACACCCATTGTCTCTCTCGTCACCACACAAAGCGAGCTGCTGGCTCACGAGGTCTATCTGACAGACCGCATAGACAAGTGCGTCTTGGTGCTGTTGCCTTGTCCTCAAGCTGACTCTTGATAGTTCCTCTCGGGAACCCCTCAACCATCTCTCCTGTATCGCATTTCTCTCTCCCACACGCTCATCTATCGAAGCCGTCAAATCCGAGCTGGCCAAACCGCGGTATGGCAGCTACTGGCTATTCTTCTCGAATGTCCTCCAGAAAAGCCAGATTGAAGAGATGGCGAGCGTGGACGAATTTGAAGTCGTCAAGGAGGTCCAAGTGGGTATGCTGGCATAAGGGAAGATAAGGTGCTGACTCTGGCAGGAATACTTTGCCGACTATCTAGCTCATTATCCGTCGCATTGGAGTCTGACACCGGCAGCTCTTGCAGATGGCGGAGACGGCCCACCCAATGTACGCCCCTTGTCTCCCGAGTATGGTCTCTTCTGACAGACATCCAGCCACCCCTCTATCTTCCCCCGCCCCTTCATCTCCCACCCCCGACTTTAGATTCCCACCTCCAATCCGTCCTCGCCCTCCTTCTCTCCCTCAAGAAACGCCCCATCATCCGCTGGGAACGCATGTCCCAACCCGGCCGAACCCTCGCCCAAGCCGTGTCAGGCGAGATCAACTCCAAATACCGCGACCTCTTTGATTTCCGCGGTACCCAAGGTCCTGCCCCTCTGCTCTTAATACTAGATAGGCGGAATGACCCGGTGACGCCGTTACTGAGCCAATGGACGTATCAGGCAATGGTGCACGAGCTGCTGGGGATCACGAATGGACGGGTGAGGATACCGAACGAGTCCAAGCCAGAGCTCCGGGACCTCATACTCTCACCTACGTCTGACCCGTTCTACTCGCAAAACCTGTTTTCGAACTTTGGTGATCTCGGCGCATCCATCGCAGAGTACGTCTCGTCCTACCAGGCGCGTAATGCTGCGCTCTCGGGCGTCAAGTCGACGGATAGGATTGAGACTGTGGCGGATATGAAGCGCTTTGTGGAAGACTATCCTGAATTCAGAAAGCTCGGAGGGAATGTTAGTAAACATGTCAGTATCGTCGGGGAGCTGAGTCGGATCGTGGAGCGTGATGGGTTGTTGGAAGTGAGCGAGGTGGAACAGAGTCTGGCGAGTCAGGACAGCCACGCCGCTGATCTCAAAGTACGTCTTTCATCCCTGCCTCTGATCACATACTGATGTATGGACCAGAGCGTCCAAGAACTCATCTCCTCCCCCAAGATCACCCCAGCCAACAAACTGCGCCTAGCAATCCTCTACGCCCTCCGCTACCAAAAATCCCCCTCCGCCCAAATCCCCCAAATCACCTCCCTCCTCACCACCGCCGGCCACCTCCCCCCCGCCCAGGCCCGGCTCGTATACGCCTTCCTCAATTTCTGCGGTACCGACGTCAGGCAAGATGACCTGTTTATGAATGAAAACTTCTTCTCGAGAGGGAAGAGTGCGTTGAAAGGGTTGAAAGGGGTGGAGAATGTGTATACGCAGCATACGCCGCATTTGGGGCAGACGTTGGATTTGTTGTTGAAGGGGAGGTTGAGGGAGACGAGTTATCCATTCTTGGAAGGAGACGAGTGGGCCAGAAGCCAGAGGTACCTCCATTCCCCCATCGATCAGATCAATTATTGACCAAGGTAACAGACCGCAAGACATCATCATCTTCATGCTCGGCGGTACGACATACGAAGAAGCCCGTACCGTCGCGCTCCTCAACCAGAGACTCGCATCCGAAGCCAACGGTCCGGCCGGAGGTACACGTATCATACTCGGCGGTAGCACCATCCACAACTCCAACAGGTCTGTCCCCTTTTTCTTAACCCATAATGAGTCAGAAGCTGAACAGAGGATGTAAGTTTCCTGGATATGGTCGAACAAGCGGCAGAGCATTATCCCGAATCCATCTACCAACCCCCGCCAGGCTTGTCCACCGCCGGCTACGCCCTTCCACCCGTCTCCTCCTCCTCCGCCAACTTTAGCACACCATCAGCGGAAGAAGCAGCCGGCAATACCAGCGGCGTCAGCCTTCGCGCTGGAGGGTACGAGCTCAATGTGGGCGGGGTGGCTGGTTCGGGGCTGTATAGGACTACACCGGGGGATGTGGGCGCGACGTTTGAGATGCCCAAGATGGATCAAGTGGCGGGTGGGCTGAGGGATGGAGCGGGGAGACTTTGGGGGAATGTCCGGCAGAAGATGGGCGAGCGCGCGAGTAGGGGACCGACACCGCAACCATAGCACCTATTGTACAAATATTTTGTGATGAATGCTGGTCCTGCATATGCTGATTACAAATAAACACGGAAAGAGAAGGAAAGAAAAAAAAACGAAACCACTACCCCTCTACACTGTCTACGCATAACTAGCCTGCGCTCCCGAGTCCACATCCCCAATAACATACTCCTTCTTCGTAAACGCCTTGCTACAGTCCGCCATCGTCACCGACGCCCTGGAAATAGGATCTGTCCTGTAAAAGTCTGTTATAGGCTTCTTCAACGGTTCGGCTGATGATTGCGCGGAAGAGGAGGAGAGGGTGGTGAGACCGAGTTTGAAGACTTCGGGTGAAGGGCGTTCGACTTCGTCGTATCGGACAAGGGAGGGGGAGATGTTGTAGAGACGGACACGGATGTCGTGGGCAGTGTCATACGGCAACGGTTCGCCAACGACTTCTGACAATGCTCTGCAATTCCGTCAGCCAAATCCAACCACTCGCCAACAAATACTCACCGGACAATCTTCCAGTCTTCTCTAGAAGCTCCAGGAGGAGGCACCGCCGTCCTACCCAACTGACTCCTACCCTCCGTGTTCACCCAAGTCGTGCTCTTCTCAGTGTACGCCGCCGCAGGCAAACAGACGTCCGCAAACTGCGCACCGTGGTCACCGTGGTGGCCTTGGTAGACGACAAAGGCGTCTTCGGGGATGGAGGCGGGGTCGATGTCGTCGGCGTTGAGGAGGTAGACGAATTTGGGTTTGGTTTGGGAGGCGGGGGCGGAGGGGGTGAAGCCAATGTCGTAGGCAGCGGCTCGGGAAGCGGCCTATATCTCATCAGCCCCGAACTCAAACATGTAGGAGATACTCACCCTCTGGAGAACAGAGAAACCGGTCCACTCGGAAGTCAAGAACTTTTCAGAGTTGGCCAATACGTGCTTGCTAACCTCGGCGAGGATAGCAGCCCCATCCTTGGTCTCCGTCACGGCACTTCCAACCACAATCAAAGGCTTCTTTGCATCCTTCCAGATCTTGGCAAAAGAGTTGCCAGCCTTGCCGCCAAAGAAGGACGCCACATCCTTGCCAGAGGTACCGAGGTGGTCATACTCAAACGTAGAGTCAAACTTTTCACCGATGACGGCAAAGTCGGTACCGCGGTGGAGGAAGGACTTGCGGAATCGAGAGTTGATGGTGGCAGCCTCGTGTCGGGGGTTGGAGCCGATAAAGAGGACGGCGTCGGCATCTTCGACATTCTCGATACCAGTGTTGAAGAGATAGTTGGATCGGATGTCGACGTTGGTGGGGGCGTCGCCGAGGTTCTGGTCGAGGGTGAGGTTTTCAGACCCGAGCTTGTTGAGCAAGTCCTTGACAGCCACAAGCGCCTCAGTATCGGCGAGCGCACCAGCAACAGCCTGGATCTCATCACCCTTGGCACCAGAAGACACCAACCCATGTCGGATCGTCTCGAGCGCCTGCTCCCAGCCAGCAGCCACAAACCTGTTGCCCTCTCGCACAAGAGGAGTGGTCAAACGCTGGTACTTGAGACCGTCGTAGGCGTATCGCGTCTTGTCGCTGATCCACTCTTCGTTGATCTCGTCGTTGACCTTGGGCTGCACACGCATGACCTGGGTACCGCGCGAGTCGATTCGGATGTTGGCGCCCACAGCGTCGAGGACATCGACACTCTCCGTCTTCTTCAGCTCCCAGGGTCGGGCCTGGAAAGCATAAGGCTTGGAGGTGAGGGCACCGACGGGGCAGAGGTCGATAATGTTACCAGACATCTCCGAGTCCATCGTCTTTTCAATGTACATGCCTATCTGGAGGTCGTTACCTCGACCGGTGGTACCCATGTCCTCGACACCAGCGACATCATTCGCGAATCGCACACATCGGGTGCACTGGATACACCTGTTCATCGACGTCTTGACGATAGGTCCCAAGTCCTTGTTCTCAATCGCCCTCTTGCCGGTGATCTCGTGGAACCTCGACCTGTCCGAGCCGTACCGCATAGACTGATCTTGGAGATCGCATTCGCCACCTTGGTCGCAGATGGGGCAGTCGAGGGGGTGGTTGGCGAGGAGGAATTCCATGACGCCTTCACGGGCCTTGTGGACGAGGGGGGTGTTGGTGAAGACTTTGGAGCCGGGCATGACGGGCATGGCGCAGGAGGCGACGGGTTTTGGTGATCTTTCGACTTCGACAAGACACATTCGGCAGTTACCGGCGATTGCCAGGCGGTCGTGGTAGCAGCTGCATGCGTGTCAGCCATGTTTCCTATCCCATCCACCGTTGAGATGCAACCAAACAAGCAGGGGCAACACTATTGGATGGCCGCGAGCAGCTAGACCCCAGCGGGCCCCATCGCAGACTAGCAGCCCCGCGCCTCGGCTGCTCAAGAGCCAATCAACGACACCATAAAGTCACTGTGGGAATTGGATCCCCGCATGCTGCTAAAGAGCGAGCGACCGCCCCTCGGAGAGTGGAGATGGGTGACAGGGTAGGGGAGGTAGGGGAAGGGCGGGGGAGATGGAGTATGCGTCCATATACCGCCACATCTCGCCGCCCCACATCCCACCCCCACATCGCTCTTCAGTCACTCAACTTCTCTCCTATCTCCCCAAGCAGACTCCCTCCAGCACCTCCAGCATCACACACATACGCCATCTCCAATGCCAGCCAATGCTAATACAGAGAAGCACTCACAACCTAGGAACAGTAGCGCCCGCCTGCTCACAAGCCTGAATCAAAGCGGTTCCCTGGGGTACGGTGACCTCCTTGCCGTCGATTGTGAGGGTGACATCTGCTAATCTGGGGATGGAAGAGGAGAAGAGTCGGGTTCCTAAGTAAGCAGCGTCAGTTGTGGGTTCCAAGATGGCTGTCGGTGGGGATGTTGGGGGACTGACTTGAGGGGCCTGCGACTGAGCGGAGGCTGCGTGCTGCGAGGCGGGGGAGCATGGCGGGGGATAAGAGAAGTACGGAGGATGTATGGATAGATGTTGGATAGACGACACGGTAAGTGCTTATGGACGCACCAGCCAACGAGAATCGCGACGTTTAAAACGCCGCGCAGTGTGGCACTCCAACCGCCAATGAGAGCACCACCAATGCCACATCCCTCAACTTGGGCCACGGCTATCGTAATGCATGTCTAGATCCAGTTCCCCTCCCTCACCCCCCTCTTGCTCTTCTTCTCCTCCACTACTACTACCTGACTATCCATAAACCCGTCCATCCCCGCCCACATCGCCCAGTCCTCGTCATACGCCCGTTCCTTCGTCAATCGCCTCCGCGTCTTCTTCTCCTTCTCCGCCTCCTTCTTTGCCTTCTTCTCATTCTTCGCTGATGATGATGCTGAGGAAGAGGAGGAAGAGTATCGCGCAAGGAAGGGAAAGTGCATCTTCTTGCCGAGGATGTATTCCACATCCTGCAGCAATGTCTGCCTCGGGCGCGCGTCGAACAAAGATAGCTCGGTAGGCAGGGTAGCATACACCGGGGCGGGAGCGGGCGCGGGGTTGGTCATAGACCTGCCCCTGCCAAATTCATCCACCCTTCTTCTTCCACTGGTAGTAGAGATGGAAGGAGGGTAGGTAGACCTCGCAGGCGAGAGCGGCTGGGCCAAACTGGCCGTCGGGCTCTGAGGCGCGCGTCTGCTCGGTGTAGAAACAGGGGTCGACGCAGAAGGCGTATAAGCCGAAGAAGACAGCGACGAAGAAGAGCAGTTGTAGTGGTAGGGGGTGTGGTAAGAGAAGGGGTTGAAGGGGGTCGCGAATGGGTGGTTGGCTGGTAGTGTTTCCCGACGGTCGCCTCGGTCGCCTCGGGGGGGTGTAGGGGCAGAGCGGGTGGGGTACATTGTAAGTGCCAGCTTGGTTGGGATGGGGGGTGTGGTGTGGTTTGGTAGGGCAGGTGTGGTGGGCAGGTGCTCGTAATGTGAGTGGAGATCTACCTCCCTCGTGTTGCATGCATATATGCACCCTCAAACGACTTCAGCTGCTCATCCATCCATTTCGCCTTCACGTCGCATTCATCCCATCATATTTGTCAACATCACTTCACTTCACTCTCAACTCTCAAACTCGAGCGTCGGGACCTCGTTCCTGTTCTCTTCCGGACTTTCGGACATGGGTGCCTCGGGTCGGGGTGTGTATTCATACATACTTCGGGGTGGGATGTTGCTTGAGGGGCGGGCGGAAGAGGGGAGGAGGGACACGAAGAGGGGGCGAAGGGGAGACAAAAGGATTTTCGAAGGAAGGGAAAAGGTGAAACGCGCACTCAGGGACAAGCCCCGAGCTGAGCCAGATTCGATCAACTTGACTTCACCGTCGCGTCAAAATCCTACAGTACTCGTTACTCGAGTACTCTTCAGCTATGCCTTCACTGACCACTCCCGATCCTTCCCACCTGGGACGAGCAGAGCGTGGGACCCCCAAATCATCTGAACATGGTCGGACGATCGACAGGCTAGTCACTATCCGCAAGTGCCTTCTTTCCTCTACTCGTGTACAATGATGGTGCAGAATGTTGAGACGTTTTACGTACCATGAAAGAATGAGCTTCAATAATGGTGTACTGGTGCCCGTATTGTTCCCGGTCTTTTGTACTTTGTTATACGCTTGATAATCAAGAGACAATACGTGTTCGTGATCTCGTCATTGAATTCACCTTTGTTCATCAGCGTAGAGGACTTTGAGGATGACGACTTGGTCTGGGCAAGCGAGGCTTCCTGTTAGTAGTGCCATTTCTCGATTCGGCCTTTAAGTCCATAACAACTCTCTCCTCCATGGCATATCTTCATCAACGTGCACATGCATCCGACATGCATCTGACACTCCGCTCAAATGGTTTTTCATCGCTTTGCCCAGGTGATTGTTGAAGGTCTCCAGATCTGAGTAGGTGCCCTCACTGCTTTCTTCGCTGCTGACCTTTTGCATATATTGTGCTCGAGAAACTAATCCAACTCGTACTGTCCCGTCCCACAACTCTACGCCTTTATCCTCGAAATTCCTCACAAACTCCCCCTACTTATGCACCCAATTCAACCCCCTAAAAACCGCCCAAGCAACCCCCGTCGCACTAGCATAAACCCCAACCCTGCCCCCCAACGGCAAAATAGTCAAAAACGGGTACGGAAACACCCCTCCATTCTGTTCTGCGCAGTGTTCGACCCAGAAGCCGTAGGATGTGCCGAATGCGGAGGCGAGGAGGAAGGCGATGGAGGTAGAGAAGGGGGGCCGGTATTTGTTTTCGAGGAGGAAGAATTCTATGCACGGGTTAGTATCGTGGATGAAGGAAGGGAGTGGGAGGAAAGAGGGGGATGAGGGGGACATACCAAAGACCAGAGCAACACCCGGTAAGAGGTGCATACTCATATCCATCCACAGCGGGATCCTAAACAACGTGGGCTCCGCCGTAGACGACGATGGCGCGCCTTGGGCGGCATTAGGGTCGGTGGGGGGGAGCATGAGGTGGGGGGCAAAGATGATGAGCGACCACTGTATGGAGTGTTAGCTTTGTCGCTGCTGGCATTTCTGAGGGATGGGTTGGGGTTGGGAGGGAGAGGGGGAGGGAGACGTACGTAGGTGGAAGTGATGATGAATTCCACAGGGAGAGCGATGAGCAAGAACGTCCTCTTGATCAACCGAATCACTATATAGCCCATCGGTTCATGACCTTGCCAACAATCAAGAGAGCGAGGACGTACGATGGACATTCGGTAAGAGATCTTGCGCGCCGGCCAAGAGCATAGTGGCACCAGATATCGTCAGACTGTTGTTATGTCAGCCAGCCATTCTATATCAGTACATTGAGAAGGTGGGACATACCCGAGAATAGTGAGATACTGCCAGAACCCTACACACCATCGATCATCAGCTCTGCCTCACCGACCATCATCCATTATATCCTAGCTTACCTCCATACTACACTCAAATCAGCTCTTCCACATCATTACTTAATGACAGAAACGAGGCTCACCTGATTAGACATGACATCCCCAAAAACCGTCGACGCCCTCATAGCCTGGAAACCATAAAGCATCACCCCCGCCGCACCGACATGCAAGAACATGCGGGCTTGGTAGGGCGTTTCCGGGGCTGGGGCGGTGGATTTGACGATGGGGACTTGTTCGTATGGGGCCGCTTTTGACATTGTGGCTGGTATAGAAGAAAGCAAAGATACGTAGAGATCGTCCGATTTTTGGAATCAGCGAAAGACGTCATTGCCCATTTCTCGGCGGCCGGGTTCCGTGGTATGTACTTTTTGCAGACTGGCTGTTATCTTCTGGCGGAGACTCCGCCCAGGTATCCCAGAGCAGAGGGCGTTTGACTCAGGGTCGTACGGGTTGATAAGACTGAGATAAGATTGGGGCAATATGTAGATAAGGCGAGGAAGAAAGGACTTGTCCATGTCCAGATACCACGACCATCACCGGTGGATTGGCAGTGTGCTTGCATTCCATACGCTTCAGACGAAGCATGGCACACCAGGCCTCGCTCTAGAGATAACACGACTAATGTCATATCCGCTCTATCGAATGAAAAAAGGATGATCAAACAAACCTCGCTCGAGCTTTCATACCTTCCTTCCCTCCCTGCCTCGACTCCAACACCAGCACCTCCCCTTCCCACCACGCAGAAGTGACGACCTCACGATCCACAACCATAGCCCCCGTCGCCCTATACTCGAACCCCACCATCCTCTTAGCCTTGTCTCCTCCTTCCGTTCCCTGCCGAGCGACAGAATCCGCGATCTCAGCCAAAATGAGCGCACTCAGCGGCCCATGTACGAGTGTCCCTTGTTGATGTTGATGGGAGACGGAGAAAGGGTGGTCGTAGTGGATTTTGTGCGAGTTGTGGGTTAGGGCTGAGAAGAGGAAGAGGAGCGGGGTTGTGGGGGTGTAGGTGTGGTTGTAGATTGGATCAGGGGTCGAGGTTGAGGGCGGGGCTGCGGGAGAAGATGTGGTTTGACCGCCCACCCGTCCCCTCCCAGAGTCAGCTCGCCAGAACCAACTCTGCCTGGGTACAAAACCCGCTCTTGATGCACGAACACCTTTCCCTTCTTATACTCTACTCTTGGGATAGTCAGGACTTGGGTCACGGGCTCGCCTACTTTGAGTACATTCGCCGAGCTGGAGCTAGAGGAGAACGACGGCGGCGGGGGAAGGGAAGGAGGGGAAGATGACAGAGTCGCTGGGGGAGAGGGAGAGGGCCAATGAAACTCACCCCCCGCCCACATCCGGCGTAAGAATGGCGCTGGGGGGTTCAACTCCTAAGAATTCAGACAGAGAGTTAGCTTCCAGTCTACCATCTTGGGATTCTTGGAGCTTCGGTCATTGGCATGCAATGGGATCATATATCCATGAATTCATCTGTCATGAAATCATGATGATCGTCGGGTTTTGGTAGGCCGATATTGCTTTCGAGAAGGGATGAGACGAGAAAAGAGAGGTAAGAAAGACCGGAATGCAGACCGGTAAGGAAGTTGATGGGACTACGCGGTAAGAGTATGCGTTACGGGTACCCGACCCGACCCGACAGACTGACATCGCTACACCACATAGCCGCTACAGCTCTTCGCCAGTCGCCAAATCGCCAGCACTCAGCAGCAGTGCATTGCGGCTTTGCGGGGCATTTCGCCCGACGCGATGCGACTCGTAGGTCGTCAGAACTCAGAATTATTGATGGAGGCAGTCATAGCACAATTCTCCCGCGGGAGCAACCATGCGCAGTCCATCCAAAAGAGACCAAGAGCCAAAGAAAAGGGGAGAACGTCGTATCAGAAGAGGAGAGATAAAGTTGGTTACCGATTTTGAAACATCAGGTACAAACATGTCGAAGTGTCGGTCTACCGACGGGGCCGACGGAAGGGAAAGAAATGATCTCATTGCCATGGGTCATGCATGTATGCACCCAGCCAAAAAACAGAAGCAGGTGGATACTCGCCCGGAACAATGCACGACTCACGGTAGCAGACCCATCCTCGCCCAAATCACGCAGCATAGGCCTCGGCCTAAAGTACACGAGATGATGAGCCGCGGGCAGCACCGCGCCTCCTGGCAGGTCATCGATGTAGCCGCCCCCTTGCCTGGTCGGGAGAGCGCGTTGGAGCTGGCTTGCGCGGTCGGGGTCGAGGATGTCGTGAGAGCGCTGTGGGCTGCGAGCGGTGATGTGGTCGATCCACTGCTGCAGGCTGGGCGGGGTGTGTATGCGACGGGGGAAGAGCGTTCGGGTGGAAGGGCGCTGTGAGCGGCAAAGAAGGTTCATCGAGCGCTGCAGCATCGGGACAAAGGTGAGGGTGAAGAAGGGGTGTAAAAGGTTAATTATAGGCATAGCTGACGAGAAGGGTGGGCGCTTGGCGCGCCGGGCAGGTGGTGTTGTAGGCATGCGGTGATATCTTTTCTAGGGCGGTAGGCGTGCATAATTTGGTAGCGAGCCGCAGACATTTACCCGGCGCATTTTAGAAACGCAGGGCTGGATGCAAGAGATGTATAGAGCTGCTGCGGACGGGACCACATTATGATGATCAGCGTCTATTCCAGGGCAATCGAGCGCTCAAACTGCAAAACTTGGAGCCCTGTTCCTTGCAGGCGCTCAATTTTCTATCATGTGCCTGGGTGACACCCGATTATCTATCAGATATCTGTTATCACCCCTCGGCCGATATCCCCTGCCGTTGTTTGTCTGCCAAGGTATGCCCCCGCTTATATGGTATTCACAACTCCAGGCGAGATCTTTCCCGGTTTTTGTGGAGCAACTTTTTTCTGGCATCGTCTTACCATATAAGAACACTTCGGGAAGAGGATCTGCCCCCTCATCCTTCGCATCCTCCTTTCCCCGACATCTTTTTTCTCAGCATGGCGCGCCCATCCGTAGAGATCCCAGAGCAGCTCGCGAGCCAGCTCAGCGAGCGACCCACGTTTGAACGTTCCGCCACAGACGCCAAAGACGTCAAGAATGTCGAGACCGACCCGGAGGTCAACCACCTTACCCAGCATGAGGATGAGGAGGACGACAGGGCGAGTATTGAAGTCGAGCAGAGTATCGGTGTGACCAAGATTGAGGCGCTGTACCTCGTCTTTGGCAAGGGATGGAAGTTGTGGTTGCTTTGGGGGTAAGTTCCCTTGACATCGCTGTTCGGGTCGTGCTGACATCCCATAGTTCCATCGCCTTGATCGCCAATGTCTATTCTCTCTCCTCCAATACCACTTACAACTGTACGTCCTGACGCTTCCTTTTGCGCTCTTACTAATTCTCTACAGACACTGCCTTTGCCACCTCTTCCTTCGGTGAACACACTGTCCTCGGTACGATCACTGTCATCACCGGTATCATGGCCGGTGTCGCCAAACCCTTCCTTGCCAAGATGGCCGACTTGTGGTCCCGACCTCTCGCCATCGCTGTCTCCGTCTTCTTCTACACTGTCGGCTACATTGCCATCGCGGCTTCCAAGACCGTCTCTGACGTTGCTGGTGGAGAAGTCCTCTACACTCTGGTACGTCTCTTTCTCTCCACCATGCGCTGCCCAGCTGACATCTGGAAAGGGTAACACCGGTATCGACTTCCTCGTCACCATCCTCCTCGGCGACATCACATCCCTTCAATGGCGAGGTGCCATCGTCGGTCTCTACTCTATCCCCTACGTCATCTGGGCTTTCGTCGCCGGTGACATCTCGGACGGTATCAGCGCCTACACGAGCGACGGCTGGCGATGGGGTTACGGCATGTTCACCATCATGGTGCCCATCTGCATTGCCCCCGCCCTCATCATCCTCTTCTGGGCCGACAAGAAGGCCAAGAAGGTCGGTGCTTTGTCGCTCGCTTCGTCCACCTACACCCGAGACATGATCCTCCGAAAGCAGCAAGCCGCTCAGCGGACATGGTACCAGACCTGCATCTACTATGCTCGACAGATCGATGCCGTCGGTCTCTTGCTCCTCGGTTTCGCTTTCGGCTGTATCCTTTCTCCCTTCACCCTCTCCTCGACCGCGTCCAACGGCTACAAAAACCCCTCTTTGATCGCTTTGCTTGCTGTCGGTGGCGTCTTGTTCATCTCGTTCTGTCTTTGGGAGTGGAAGGTCGCTTCTCACCCGATCATGCCTCGACGAGTGTTCAACAGGACCTTTATCTGCTGCATCTTGATCGACTGGAACGTGAGTCTCTACTCATCTCTTCCTCCTTCTTTCGCTGACTCTTTGCGTAGTACTATTTCTCCGGATACCTTTCCGACGCTTACTGGTCTTCCTGGCTCTGGGTCGCTATGGACTACGACGTGCGTATTATCTCCCTAACTTCCACTCTATCCACATGCTGACCCTTCAATAGTCCAAGGGCTACACCTACATGCAGAACATCCTTACTGTCGGTCTTTGTTTTTTCGGTGCCCTTGCCGGTCTTGTCCAGCGATACACCCACAGGTTCAAGTACCTCCAGCTTACCGGTCTTGCCATCCGTGTCATGTACGTCTCCCTGCCTCTTCCTAGGTCACCATTCTGACCTTGCTTCTAGCGGTATGGGTCTCGGTTTCATGGCCGTTAACGGACACATGACCAACGCCGTCGTCGTCTCTTCCCGAGTCCTCATCTCCCTCGGTGGTGGTATCTCTGTCGTCTCCTCCCAAGTAGCCGTCCAAGGTTCCGTCCCCCACGCCGACATGGCCCTCGCCATGGCCATTCTCTCCCTCTGGACATCTATCGGTGGTGCTATCGGTTCCGCCATCGCTGCTGCTGTTTGGAACCAGCGTGTGCCCCACTTCTTGAGCGAGTACGTTGGTGATGTCTACAATGCGACCGAGTTGGCCGAGATCTTTGGGTCTATTACGGTCGCTAGGGCTGCTGAGCCCAGGGCTTTGATCATCGAGGGTAAGCTTCCCTCTCTCTACTTTCTCTATGGATGTGAGCTGACTTTCAATAGCCTACAACGACGCGATCCACCCCCTCATGCTCGCCGCTCTCCTCACATCCATGCTTTCCCTCATCTTTGGTGCCTTCACCAGCAACTTTTACCTCGGCGAGCATCAGAACGCTGTCGAGAAGAAGATCATTGCCATGCGCCCTGCCGAGGAGACGGATGAGCAGATAGTAGCGAGAAAGGCGGCGGAGAAGGAGGCGGAAATTGCTGCGAGGTTGGGTGTCGAGCATGAGAAGACTCATACTTTGGAGCAGTAGAGTTGGGTTTTATAGGGTACTTTCATATTTATTGGTTACTACGCAACTATTAGGCATATTACAAAGCCATCATAGACTATAATTTTGTTGCGACTTTCGAGAGACAAATGCATCATTCGTTCTCATACGACCCTCCAAAGGCAGCTGGTTCAGTTTGATTCGCTCACTATACATATTGCCGTCAGTTTTGGCATTCGTTGAGACGCCTGGAGATGATTTGCTTGCTTGTGCTCTGATAAATGAAGAGGGAATGGTATGACTACAAGTGCATGGAGAAGAGATACGTTTATGAGATGGGTTGTCTTCCCAACATGTCGGCCGCCGAGGGTGGAGGTGTGGGTACGAATGGCGTGACTTGCAGGGCCTTCCGATCTATATAACCAGCAACTGGATGTCCATTCCACGACTCGCATCTCTCACAAGACACCTCGCACCACGCAGAACACTCGCAACCATGAGCACCATCGACATCCCAAAGACACAGAAAGCCATCCAAGTATGACTCATCCCTCAAGAAGGCTGACAGCTGATCCGGGACAGGTCGATAAAGTGGGAGGGCCAGAGGTCAATGTACTTCGGGAGATCCCTGTCCCTACTCCCAAGGATGACGAGGTCTTGATCAAGGTCCAGTGGAGGTGCGTATTGCCCAGAAAGTATAGATGCAAGTTCACCGGATGTCGCTGACAACCACTCCATCCAGCGGCGTAAACTACATCGACAACTGTAAGCCACCCATCCCGCCTTCAATATCTTCTCTGACAAGATCCCAGACTTCCGAAGTGGTGTCTACCCCAAGCAATTCCCCTACACCGCCGGCCAAGACGCCGTCGGCACCCTCCTCACCACACCTTCCAAGCCTTCGGCGCCCTTCGACATCCCCGTCGGATCAACCGTCTTCACTCCCTCTGGCCCCGCCTGGGCAGAGTACGTTGTCGCCCCCGCTGCCCGGGTTGGCCTTCTCCCAGACTCTATTGCCAGGAAAGACGGTGTTTCTCTCGCTACCGTCGGTCTCACTGCGATCACGCTTACTAAAGACAGTTATCCCGTGCAAAAGGGTGATTGGGTCTTGATTCGAGCGGCAGCAGGGGGCGTCGGGCTCGTTCTGACGCAGGTTGTGAAATACCTTGGCGGGCATGTCATTGGCGAAGTCTCCACCCCGGAGAAGGCCGAACTTGTGAAGAAACACGGTGCGGACGTGGTGCTCCTCAGTACAGACAAGACCGAGGACAACGTCAAGAAGATCCTGGAGCTTACTGATGGGGGCGTGCATGCGGTGTATGATGGTGTGGGTCAGGCGACTTGGGAGCAAGACTTTGAGGTCGTTAGGAGGAAGGGCACGATTGTGACTTTCGGTAATGCCTCGGTGCGTTCTGGTATCTTTACTTGTGTAGTGGATTGCTGACACTTGCCGCAGGGCGTGGTACCTCCCTTCGCTCCCACTAAAATTTCCCCCAAAGCACTCAAAGTCACCCGCCCCACAGTCACTGCCATCATCCAAACGGCCGAAGAGTTCAAGAACTATACTGCCGAGCTCGTCGAGATTGTGCAGAAAGCTTCCATCAAAGTGAGCCTCTCCCCCCTCTCTTTGCTATGAAGACAAGCTAATGGCGGTGGGTTAGTTTGAGGTGTACAAAGAATACCCGTTCTCGGCTGAAGGTGTTATTCAGGCGGAGAAGGATATTCAAGGGCGAGGGACTACTGGGAAACTCCTTATCAAGATCTCGGACTGAAGCAATGGTCTACGGCGTCGTACGAGCTTGCCAAAGAGGCCCTTGTCGTGACTTGTCACTTCTATACTGTCGAGGGATCTGAATAAGAAGAATCGAAAAGGAATCAGGTGCGGCAGAACTGCTGTTGTGATGTCCGAGAATGCAGCGGTGCTGAACGGGTATGTCCGGGATGCCCAGCGCAATCAAAGGGTAGGGATAGACATGTACATGCGATACACCAACCCTCATCCGCCACAGCCGTATGCTAAAGAAAGGAAATCGAGGAAGAAGCCGGAAAAGTAAAAGTACATCTAAAGATTAAACATCCGCTCAAGCCTTGCTCTCCTTGGCCTTGCGCTTCTCGATAGCCTTCCTCTTCTTGTCGAGATTTTCCTTCTGCAATGATCGTTAGCAAACTACAGATAAAGAAGAGGAAAGGAGAACGCACCTCAGCAGCCTTCTCCTTGTTGGAGTACTGCATCTTCTCGTAGAGCTTTGACTTTTTGTTGCTCATCATGATCTTCCTCAAGTCCTCCTCGCCCTTCTTACCACCAGCAACCTTCTTCTCACCACCAGATTTCTTGGCCAGCTTGGTAGCTTCCTTCAGCTGGGCGCGGAAGTCGGCGTGGGAGACACCGTTGGCCTCGGCTTCGAGCTCGGCAGCGTGGAGGTAAGTGCTGTTGGAGGGGTTTTGAGCAGCAGCGAGAAGAGCAGGGGGGTAAGGGCTAGAAGACTCCGCGACGATTTCATCCTCGTCATCAGACTCTTCCGCATCCTGCTCCACATCCTCTTCCTCCTCAGCCTCGGCACCTTCCTCAGTCTTCTCCAACCACGGCCTGTCAAGCTCGCCTTCCCCGTCCCAAGGACTCAGATGAGGAGGAAGCTCTTGTCCAGGGTGGTAGCCCTCGGTGGAGATGATCTTGTGCTTGTTGACAGCATCGGCGACCCACTGGGGCTGGACCCAAATCCACTTCCTACCACCTTCCATCTCCCTCATTCTCTCGGCCGTTATCGGCCTGTCAATGATGACGTGCGTGATGGCGTCCGCCTGGGGCGCTTCAGAGGGCGAAGGCGCAGAGAGGGAAGTGACGACCCGGCCGCCCATCGCGCGGATGACGAATTCCCAAGTACGGGAAGAAGTCTCTCGGGAGAGGTAGAAGGTGTAGGGGGAGAAGAGGAGGTTTTTGGGGAGGGTGGAGGAGGAGGAGGTGGCGAGGAGGGAGTTGTATGTGGTGAGAGGGGCGGAGGCGACGTCGGTGGCGGCGTCCTTGTTGGGGCGCTCAACAAAGTCTTCCTCGACGGACTCTTCGTCGTCAGACTCGGCGTCATCGTCCATGGCGACATCGGCGTCGCCAGAAGCCTTGATGCCCTTGATGGCCTTTCGGACAGCCTTCTTAGAGACACCCTTACCCTCAGCACCTTCGTTGTTCTTCTTCTCCACCAGCTTGAAAGCACCGACAGACTCGCCTTGCTCGTCGAGGCTGACATCAAGAGGAGGGGGGTAGACGAGGTTCTCCTCAGTGTAGAGCTTGTAGAGCACAAAGCCAGTCATGGTGCGGTAAAGATCCAAGAAAGTGAGGAGGATTCGGAAATCGACATCGTGAGGCACATGCTGCTGGAACTCGTGTCCTTCCAACCACCTGACATTCACAGTCTCGCCGCCTTGTCCGGGAACCTCACACTCGTAGTAGATGCCCTTGACACCGAGGAAGATCTTGCGGAGGGAGTTGGTGCGGATAGCCCAGACTTTCCATTCAGAGATCAGACGGCCGCACTCGGCGATTACTTCGGCGGGGACGAGGGTCTTGCCGGGGACGGGGTTGGTGGGGAGGGTGGAGAAGAGGTGAACGAGGTTGAGGGGGTCTTGAAGATCCTGAAGGGCGAGAGTGAAGGTGGGATATCTGACCCAGTCAGCGAGGGACAAAAACGGTAGGTGGGTAGCTCACCTCTCCTTGACCAAGTGGTCCAATCGGGCAACAGGCTTGGCATCTTCCAAGTTCTTCGCCAAACCCCACTCCTGCCTGCCGACAGCCCTAGCAAGCTTCTTCGCGAAAGCCTTGTGCTCTCTAAACTTGACGAGAAGAGGCTCGTGGAGGAGGTACTGGATGTCCTTGTGGTAGTAGAACGAGGCGGGGGCGGATGAACCCTTGTTGGCACGTTTCTTGTTGAGGGGTTCACGGGGGTAGATACCCTTCAAGATACAGAGACGCCTAAAGTCGGACAAGGAGATTTGCAGCTTTTTCAAAGCCTGATTTCTTGTCACGTAGTTTTTGGCCCTACATCCAAGTCAACGGTGCCCATTCTTCGACATGATTTGTACTCACGCGCCGGACTCGCCTCTTCGCTTGATCTTGGCCATTTTAAAGTATGATTTTTGAGCAGAGGACACAACAAAACACCAAAAGATGTGCACAAGAGTGGAGGCCGGATCTGAAATTTGCATAGAGGGGAAATTTTGGTTCCGTCGACCTCCACTTTGCTCATCCTTTGCTCATCCTCCTGTATCAAAACAAGGTATTCACGCGCTGTCAGTGAGACTTGTGCATAGAGGACTCTGAGCATGGCTCGAAAGTGCCCCTTGTGTGGGTCAAGAAAGTGGAAGAGAGATAGAGTCACGGGAAATGCTGTCTGTGAAGACGGGCATGTCCTTCAGGTAAGACTTGCCGACTTGTCCTGTTCCAGGCTGACGACATTGTAGGACTACCGGTCGGAGCTGCTGGTCATTGATGGTGGTGTCAACTTTCAGCTTCAACGGAGAAGGACTGCAAAGGGTCCTCGGACCAACAAACAAAGGACTGAAGGGCGAAAGAACAAAGAGCGTGCGTTTATGAGAAGTCTTGACAATGCGGAGACTGATGAGGTATTAGTGTACCACGGGAACGAGGCAGAGTACATGAAGATCCAAGGACTTCAGCTTCTTATTCGGCACCAAAGTTACACATTGAGCAAGCTATGGCAGCTGCCTGAGGCTTTCGAGGTATGTATTACTCCGTTATATGCACTGGTTGCTGACAGCCCTCAAGATGATCGTCCGAGATCTTTGGGCGTATCAGCTCTCCATTTCTGTCCTCCCCGACATTCCCGCTCCCCCAGTAGCTGAAGAAGAAACTCCAATTCAGCACTCAAAGAGTCTCCCCAAACTACGCATCGACCCGGATCCCCAGCCGGATACTCGGGACGAACATTCCTCTTCCGACTCTCAATCAGATTCGGACGAGGGCGAAAGCGAGCCGGACGATAACATAGATCCAGAGCTCTTGAGGGATTTAGAAGAAGGGGACGGTGATGGCGAGGATGTCGAAGATGGAGCGAAAGAGGACAAGAATACAAGAGGAGATGCGCGGTGGAAGCGGAAGAGACGGTTGAGAGCTGCAGATACCATCACTACCTTGGTGTTGGCGTTGTGGATGATGAGAGTACCTGTTATGGGGTCAGATATTGAAAGGTGTGTTTGACGTCCTAGGGGAACGTACCAGCTGATTCTTTTCCAGCCTTGTAAATTCGGTTCAAATACCATATGTCGACTTTGGTCATTCCACATACATTCCCGAAAACATGAAGAAACGCCTCAATCGCAGTGCTGTCCAAGCGCTTTCTCCTCGGGTGAGACCCTTCCCGCTTCTACGCAAACGTTTGCTCACGGCACACCAGAGATCACCTAGTCCCAGCAAGATCCACGACTCGTGCAGAATCTTTGCCCGAATCCTGTATCGGAAGTATGGCGTACATGTGCCGCTCTTCAACTTTCACCCTGTCAGCTGGAGTATCGCGTCCTCTCTCGGTGGTACTCGTAAGCTGGTTTCTCGTGTCAGACGATGTGAGAAGCTCATCTCTGTCCAGCAATGATGCATGCTCTCCTGCTTCGCCTGATGGACTTGATCTCGGTACCTTTCCATCTTACCACCCATGATCTCAGCACCATCACCCGCAAACCTCGTGCCCAATCCTCATACAAGTCTCGTTCAAAGGCCAAACCCAAGACCAAAAAAAAACCACGTCCCACTGCCGACGACGAAGACGGCGATTCAAACCAGGAAGATGCCCCGAGGGATGAACAGGAGGAGGGACCGAGGTGGGAAAAGTATGAGCGTACAAAGAGAATGTACGATGAGCTCCCACCGGAGCTGAGTATCGTTTCTGCGTGGGTCTTGTTGATGAAGCTGGTGTACGGGCTTGATGGTCGACCCAGGTATGTTTGCTGAACGTGTGAGATGGAGTATCTTGCTGATGGGTATGTCAGAGCTGCACTCCTGTCGCGAGATCCTGCCATTGGGTTGCCAAAAGGTGAGATCTGGCTTCGTGAGTTGGATAGGAGGTTGGGCGAAGGTATTTTGAGCGCAAGAAAAAAGGCGCCTAGAATATCCCAAGCGTACGTTCGCCTTACATTTAGCGTTCCAAGCTCATGTTGCGGTACAGCGAGTTTGTGAGCATGGAGGACGCCGATATCAATTCCTTCCTCGACAACGCCGAACACATTTTGCTAGATCATCATGCTCCCGGATCTGGTGCGTATCTTTCTCTTTCCTGTGGGAACTCAAGCTGACGTTCCAACAGACGCGACCCATTTCCCACTCCCCCCTTCTTCACCCGTCCTGAAGCCCAACAAGAAATCCTGGACCGCCTTCCACTCTGATCTCACGCCAGTCGTACACACCCGTCCTCCCCTGGCTCAAAGCTCGCAAACATTACCTCTCATGCCTGGCGAGAAGACCCGGTCTTACGATACGAAAGACGCTTTTGGGCTCTATCCCCGCGAGATGGAGGTTGTGCTCAAGAGTGCTGGTGAAGCTGTTGGATTTGATTGGAAAGAAGTTGGAAAAGTCGTCAAGCATTGGGAGAGAAAGCTAGAGAAGGTGAAGGGTGAGAGACGGAAAGCAGGCAGATCTCTTGTGTCGGGCTATCACCGTACCAAACATCGACCTTCCAAACGCCCCTCTCGTCCTCGCACAGGATCATCGCGACAACCAACCAGCCGTGACCCAAGCCGAGCGAGATCAAAGAAACGTACAGGGAGCACGTCAGTGCTAGCAAGTCGGGAAGATAGCAGGGCTCGGCCCAGGACGAGGGCGTCTTCGCGTGCGGAAAGCGAGAGCTTTGGGGAGAGTAGCGAGCCGAGTCGGGTTAGGGGAAGTGTACCTGGCACGCCTGTTCTTTCGAGGGCGGGGAGCAGGTCGAGACAAAGTACGGGTAGTCCTAGGACGGCTAGACGGTTTGCTGAGAGGAGTGGGGATAGTAGTCAGGTTAGGTGAATCATGGTCATTCGCCAGAGTGAACGATACAGTCCATGTTATAAAGATAGTTGCCCCATCTACGTGCTACTGTGTGGCGTTTCGTCACTTCTGCAAGGGTCAGCCACGTGGCCATGGCTCGTTCAACGTCTCATCCCGGCGCCACAAGACGCAGTACCAGAACGTATGTGCTGCATCAACAATTGTACTACGCCTGAGACAGTCTGCTGCACTTTCCCTCTACTTAAACGATACTATCTTGAGGTATATGCATTCTTATCGCCTTGCCCGGACAACGTGGCTGAATCACCAGCCACACATCACCGTCGGGCTCAAATCTAGTCCCGTTGTGATGACGACGAAGACGAACGATGAATGACTCGGCTGCGAATAAGACATTTGCCACAGCACATATATAGCAGGATCATACTCATCTGTAAGCTCCCTCGCCATCCCATCCACTCACTCTCACTCTTGTCCGGAGCGAATGGCACAAAAAGCATCCTCGTCTTGCCCAAGCACCCTCGTCGCCCAGACCTCCGACATCCTCTCCGACATCCTCGTCTACCTCCCACCCTCTTCCCTTTTCTCCTGCCTCCTCACCTCCTCGACCTTCTTCCACTCTGCCGCCCCTCTGCTATATCGCGAATTACATGTCAAGCACGCAAAAGACTGCTTTGTCGGGTCCACGAGGGAGAGAGCGGCGAGCGGGATCTTTGATGTCGGCCCCAGCGTCCCGACACCGCCTTCGCCTGCGGACCCTTACAGCAAGAACACGCTTTTGGAATATGTGAAACACGTCCATATCCACACGCATGGCAAGAATGAGTGCCCTTTCGTGCTGCACTATATCAATCCTCTCCCGAATCTACAACTCGTCCACCTCGCGAACGGGCCGACGCCGGAGGAGCTGGCTTATGAGGATGTATGCACCAGCGAGGGGTGCCAGTTCTTGGCCAAAGTGTGTGGAGGGGCGAAGAAGGTGTTATTGAGGAGTCTAGAGATGGGTCCCGTCAAGCCGCTCAAAGAGCTCGAACACATCGTGCTCAAAGTCCGGCCCTGCCAACTACCAATCTACCTTTTCCAAGACCCCAACTACGTCTGGCCCCTCCCCATCATCGCATCCAAAGCCACCACCCTCGACCTCGTCTTTTGGGACGAACGCCATTGTTTCCGGGTGGACTGGCATAAAGTGCCCGGGGGGTTTACGCGCTCGTCGATGGGGTTGACGTTGAGCAAGATGGTCATCGGAAATGGGGAGGGGATCCCGATGAAGGGGTGTTCGTATTGTGATGAGCGGGGGTGTGTGAGGCATTTGCCGGATGCGAGGGCGCAGCTACCGGCGTTGATGTATGCGCTGGGAGAAGGGTCGGAGGTGAGGAGGGTGAGAGTCTGGAATTGTGACAAGACGGCGGGGAGGCAGTGGGAGAAGGCAGGACCGGTCAGTGTGGAGGAGGTGAAGAGGAGGATGGAGGAGGCGTTTGTAAGAGGGAGAGAGGAGAGGGCGAAACTGAGGACGGGGCAGGATGTGGTGCTGGGGTTGGAGGTGTCGTTCCATTCGTCGGCAGAGTATTACAACTCGCCAGCGAGATGGGACGGAGAGATGGACGACGAGGAGAGAAATTACTGGAGTGTGATGGTCCTTCCTCCCTCTGGTAAACTATTGAGCTTGAGAGGGGATGCGAGAGCCATGATTGGTGGAGATGAGACGAGGTGGGAAGGATACTTGGATGGATATACAGAGCACGAACTGGAGGAGATGATTGAGACGGAGAAGCAATGGCAAAAGGCCATAGGCACTGTAGTGAGAGAAGACGAAGAGTGATGCATCAAGAGTTGAGAAAGTTATCTTCAAGCTGGACCAAATAGCAGCATGGATGCAAAAGTACGGCGAGGAGGGGGGGGAGCGCTTGCATGGATGATTAGGTGCGAGGACCAGCTCGGTGGTTGATAAATCAATGAGATCTAACGTCAGCAGGCCAGGCGATGCCGATAGAGCCAGCTACCATAGAGTAGCTGACTGACAACCTTTACACTGATAGCAGGATATCTTTTTGCGAATACAGCAGGGACCAAACATCAAGCCGAAGGCCGGCTGAACGGCCGATTTGAAGCGTGCTTTCCCGGTCTATCCCGACTCCCGAGCCAAAGTACGCGAGAACAAGTGGCCCACGCATGCAAACTTGGCAAGCGACCAACCGGAACCCGGCGCAGATTCGCAAGGAAGCAGCCGCACCTGATCCTGCGCCTTACCACACAGATGAAGGCTGGATTGCCCGATAGATGCTGGCGAGAAGAGGTGGACGGACACGGGCGGGAGGTGCCAACGTGCGGGGTTTCGGGGTTACTCGGTGAGATGCAAGGGGATGAAGTCATTTTTTAAGCGAAAGTGGGCGAAAAAGCGTGGGGACCCGGAGCTCGCCGCCGGCAGATTCAGTGACCTCACTCGCCCAGCCCCTCTTAACGCATCCCATTTCTATCTCCATCTCTCCATCTCTCTTCCATCTTCTCTTTTCATCACACTTTTCTAAATCAACAACCATCATGTCTGCCCAGGGTGCCCTCTCTATCGTCCCCGTACGTATACCTTCTTGTCCCGCCACGTCGACCAGCGTTCGAGCAGTGACACGTCATATGGGTTGACATGCTGACCATCTGATAGGCCGGTGTTATCACTGGTGACAACGTCCGAAAGCTCTTCCAGTACGCCAAGGAGAACAAGGTGAGTAGACTGTCTAGACAAGACATATCCCCGCTGACAACTTGTAGTTCGCTATCCCTGTAGGTCTCTCGGTTTCTACCGGATTCTATCCACCTACTAACCACTTTTTTCTTCTCTTCCTTCAATTCTAGGCCATCGTGAGTGACTCTCAGTTTTATCATTGATGCCAATGCTAACCTGCATGTCCAGAACGTCACCTCTTCTTCCGTCGTGAACGGTGTCCTTGAGGCCGCCCGAGACATCAAGTCTCCCATCATCCTCCAGCTCTCTCAGGGTGGTGCCGCCTTCTTCGCCGGTAAGGGTCTTGCCAACGGCAACCAGGAGGCTTCCATCGCCGGTGCCGTCGCTGCCGCCCACTTCATCCGTTCCGTTGCCCCCGCCTACGGCATGTAAGTTTTGGCCCGCGTCTGTCTCGAGGATACGAAGCTGACCTTTGCATAGCCCCGTCGTCCTCCACTCTGACCACTGTGCCAAGAAGCTCCTCCCCTGGTTCGAGGGTATGCTCGAGGCTGACGAGGCCTACTTCAAGGAGCACGGAGAGCCCCTCTACTCGTGAGTCTTCTCTGCTCCATTCACGTAGTACGTAGCTTATCGACGTCATAGCTCTCACATGCTTGACTTGTCTGAGGAGTCCAAGGAGGACAACATCAAGGACTGTGTCTTCTACTTTAAGCGAATGGCCAAGATCAACCGTGCGTCACTTCCCTGAATATCATCCTGCTCTCGCTTACGCCGTGCACAGTCTGGCTCGAGATGGAGATCGGTATCACCGGTGGTGAGGAGGACGGTGTCGACAACTCTTCCGTCGACAACAACTCTCTCTACACCCAGCCCGAAGACATCTACGATGTTCACGCCGCCCTTGCCGCCATCTCCCCCAACTTCTCTATCGCTGCCGGTTTCGGTAACGTCCACGGTGTCTACAAGCCCGGAAACGTTGTCCTTAGGCCCGAGCTCCTCGGTAAGCACCAGGAGTACACCCACAAGCAGGTCAAGGGTTCCGAGGAGAAGCCTTTGTGAGTACCATTCTTTTTTCATCTTTCTTTTCTTCACCGAGGTTGCCTGGCGTCTACCAGCAGACCACATTCGGTTTCACGCATCCTTTTTAGACAGTGCCCGGGTCTTCTTTCAATAAGGCTCGGGCGATTCTGGACAGCGAAGATCAATGCCTTTACATCACATTTAGAACTTGCTCTCCCAACTCTTTGATGTCGTACCACCCTGGTGGTATGAGCGCTCATTCTCTGCGGCTGGCTCACTTTGAGCGGCCGTGGAGGGGCGTGAGTAGTGGGAAAGGAGGTGTCATATTGGTGTCACATTACTATCAACTTTTATCACTTTTGTTTCGAGTTGTGTTTTAGACTCCGAGCTAACGCATTGAACAGGTTCCTTGTCTTCCACGGTGGTTCCGGTTCTTCCAAGGAGGAGATTGCTACCGCTGTCGTCAACGGTGTTGTCAAGATGAACGTCGACACCGATATCCAGTACGCCTACCTCGCCGGTGTCCGAGACTTTGTCCTCGCCAAGAAGGACTACCTCATGTCCCAGGTCGGTAACCCCGACGGTGCCGACAAGCCCAACAAGAAGCAGTACGACCCCCGTGTCTGGGTTCGTGAGGGTGAGAAGACCCTTGTCACCCGAGTCAAGGAGGCTTGTGAGGACTTGGGTAACGTCAACAGGAACTAAGAGTCTTCCCTCTTTGCTGTTGATGCTGGGGAGTGGGGGCTTTAGTAAGAAGAATTTAAAACAACTACTAGGGTTATTGTGTTTTTAACGAGAATAGATGCGCTTGTTTTTGGTGTTTGTAGCAGATAGTCAGAAGTCAGAAGCATGAATGTAATCATTCTCGTGCCATCATTTGCGTGCCACTCGTTTTGCTACCGTAACAGCTCTCATAGGGTACTGGTAGAGTACATGCCATGCCCTCGTCACTGCACGTTCTCTGCACGTTCTTGTCACCCATGATGAAGTCTTGTTGATGTTTTCCGTCTTGTGTCTCTGCAGACCAACCTGGTCCTTACTATAGTCATGCTACAGAAGTGATTTTTGTTACAGTGGCGAAGTGTCCGAGTGGTTATGGAGTGTCGTTCAGGTACTGAGTTACCGGCATGCTTATGCGCGCGGGTTCAAATCCCGTCTTCGTCATTGTTCTTTTTTGTCTTTTTACTGCACTGGACGTTTAGGCGGTGGGCGTTGTTGAGGGGACCAAGGAAATAGAGTCGTAACTGGATGCTGAGACTATGTACTCTTGGAGAGGGTGTGGTGGTCTCAACTGTACATATGTGCACATTGCCCCCCATTATTCTAGTTAGCCCGCCGTCGATCAACGTTTTTGGCTCTCGTAATATGCCGCCTTCTTCGCCCGGCTGGTATCTCTTTTTCAATTATGTATAACGTTTTATGTGTCTCCCTTTCAATTTTTGAATGCCTGTATGTGGCATAAGAACAAGTATGCTTGCATAGGGGAAACGGTCCAGGCTTGTTGCCCGCCGCCGCACGAAAGAAGATGACGACAGCGGTGTTTGGTTGTTCGTTCTTTCCGCACAGATGGTCATTCCGCTTTCTACAATTTCCTGTTTCTTTTCTCTCTTTCACCACTGATTCGATTATAATCCTCATTACACTTGACACATAGGATCGGCATTAGCTCGCGTAGTGTCAACATGTTCCTGTTCTCTTACTTTTATCCGGAGACATCTCCGACTGCCCCGCCCCTCTCCAACGACCCGCCCTCTGCTCTTCGACCTTCCGATACTTTCAAGGAGCCTAGTAAAGAGGAGGTTCCCGAGAGGTAGGTCACATCACGCCGTCAAATACAAGACATCTGAGCTGATCCCTGGCAATTCCATAGAAATGCCCCATTGGACGAGATATGGGACTTTTTTGAGACCGGCCTTGAACGACTCTACACTCTAGTAGCCAACCCATCACTCCAGGCCATGTCGTACACATACTACGCTATGCTGTACTCTCATGCCTGCGACATTCACTCCAGAGAATACGATCGCCATATGCGTCCCGGCATCAGTGAACATCAACTGTACGACCATTTGGAAGTGTTCTTCATGAAGAAGGCGCAAGATGTCATAGAGGTAAAGATGAAGTCGTCTAGTGCCAAATGGATCAGAGCTGAAAAAGACATTTATAGGAACTTGCTCATTCCGACACGTCCAGGGAATTCATGGAAATTTACAGCCGACGATGGACTACATACGAGGCATTCGTCCAACGCGCCAATAATCTATTCCGGGGGTTCAACCACTTCTACGCGGATAAGAGAATCCCAGGTGTTCAAGAGATCAACGCTTTGAGATTAGAGCCAGGAACAGGGGTACAGCAGGTAAGCTCACTTTATCATTATATTTCCCTGCGTCGTTTCGTATTCCGACGACCGGGAAGATGTGTCCTGTCGCTTACCATACCGCAATTTCAGTTGGCCTTCCAAAAATGGAAAAAAAACACTCTTCGGAAATGACGTAAAAAACAGCTACACCACAAGACACCTGGATATTGTGCTTCAAGACATCTTCAAGAGGGACAAAATGACCACTACGAGGGACGGCAGCTCTCAAGTCACCGACGATGAACTGTCGCTTGCGGAGACGGTTGTACAAAGCATGGGTAGATGAGCCTCTTTTTCATAGTAGTATCGTAAAGCTAACGAGAAGCATAGTATCTATACACTTCAAGGCGAATCGCACTGGCGCCTCTGCCAGCAAGAAACGGAGGGGACCAATGCGAACGACCCGTCTGGAAACGCTTCTGGAAGAGGACGACGATGAAGTGGATGTTGAAGATGATGCCGTGGACGTTGAAGAGAGCGATGGAGGGTACAAATGGCCTATTGATAATCAGGATGCAGAAGTGGATGAGAGTGATGGAGAGTACAAATGGCCTAAACAGAATGAAGAGGATGAAGAAGACGATGCCGATAAAGAAGCAGATAAGAGCGAAGAAGAGTTTTGCATCGTGTGACGTGATACCTGTCTGCTATTGTACATGCTATGATGTAAATCTGTGCACGAGTTGTTCTTAAAGTAGAGCAATCTATGATGAACAGGGGTATGACGAACAGTTCCAGACTGCACCCAAGCATCGATTGTTTCGCTGAGTAACACCAAGCCATCAAACCAAGCCGTCAAAATACGGCCACATCCATGCTTCAAAAGCACCTGGCGAATGGTGAGAGTGGATGCAGCTGGATAGAGCAAAGCAGCGATATGAATGGCGCGGAAAGGTTGATCGATCAGAATGTTGAAGGAGGCGTACAGACCCCCCCGGAAGTCCATCAGAACACACATGAAGGGACACTCAACAAGGCACAGTCAACGGGACAAACAAAGAACAATATGAATAACGGCGTGAACACATTCTCATTCTACATTACTTCTGAGACACTATACATAATTGACCTGGGTAGCTTATACCATGTCTTGGACTCCCACATCTCTCGCCAGTGCTCCTCCGGCCGCTCTTGATTTGTCGGACGACGATTGGACGGAGCCCAGGAAGGAAGATATTCCCCCACGGTGAGCGAAGAAGAATTGCGTGGCCGGTGATATATGAGCTGAAGTCGATAGGGATGCCTCGTTTGACGACACCTGGGACTTTCTCGAGGCCGGTCTCGAGCGAATTTACACTGTCAAAGCCAACCCAGCCCTCGGTCCTTTCTCGTATACCTACTACTCCGAACTATATGCGCATGCCAACTCTTTGGCATGGAGTACTTTTCCTCGCACCGGTCGTACCACTACGTTTCTGTACTTGAGACCCGAAGATATCATTTTGGAGTTGATGTACGCCAAGCTGAAGCAGTTTTTCAGGACCAAAGCACAAGATGCCGCAGATGTATGTTTTCTTTGATTTCGCTCTCCCATTGATATGCCGGTCGAGGCTGATCTCAAGTAGACCCTTGCTCGTCCTGAGGCATGGGAGGACTTCATCGATCTCTACACTCAAGCATGGGATGTATATTTCAGTTCCGCACGTTTTGTCAACAATCTATTCAGGGGTCTCAACTATAGATTCGCCGATACTGCCGGGACTCCAGCGAATGAACGGTGCAGGGTAGTGGATAGGGGGATAGGCGTCCAGAAGGTGGGCTCTTTGTTAAGGGGAAGAAAAGCTATGTCTGACCACGAGACAAATTTAGCTTGCATTCAATATATGGAAGGAAACACTCTTCGGTCAAGATATCAAGAGCAGCTACACTGCCAAACATCTCGACATTGCGCTTCACGGCATCGGTCAAAGAGACTCGGTCGATAGCTCAAAGGTGACAGAAGCTGAGAAGGTGCGCGTGGGGATGGTCGAAGACAGTCTTGGTAAGTCTGCCACATTGCCACGCCGCAGTACTGTCATCGAGGTTCAAGCGCTGACCAGCTGTACATTGTCTATGCGTTTAAGTACGATCTGTGCTTGTGCCACCAGCACCAGAAAGAGAAAGCGAGATGTGTTGGAGAATGATGAGAGCGCCAACGAACACGCCGACAGGGTTGCAGTCAAGGAAGAAGAGTCCTCCGTTGCGCGACGCGAGACTGATTGATACCACTTTGCTAGTGTGATTGTAAATTATTCTTGGGGTAACATTTCACTACTGCAGCTGAGCTGGTGGCTGGATGCAACTGCAATGCATACATGCATACATGCATGCATGGCATGCATGTTGGTAGACAGTCGAGCACCTGATGCTGAGACGCGTATGAGCAGCTTGATCGCCAGAGGAATGTGCGGCCGACGACGTGTCCTGATGTATAGTACTACTGTATTTGGTGTCATGCTGTCTCCTGTGGACTACTGAGTGTGAAGAGAACGATGCAGAGTCGACATGAAGGCGAGATAGGCAAAAAAGGAGATTGACAAAAAGATATTCTCCATCAGGGAGTTGAACCCTGGTCTACCGCGTGAGAAGCGGTTATACTAACCGTTATACTAATGAAGATTGATACTTTCAATCTTTGGTTAATTTTATACATTGCAACGTGGGAATTAGCTCGCGACGCGTCTCTCTTTGACTTCTCCAGTCTGATCTTCGATTGTGCAAAGACTCTTCGCAGATACCTCCTACTTACAGCGACTGTCAACTGCTCGCCCTCCTCTTCAGAAATCCCATCGACCCTCTTATCGCTGTCCCCGCAGAGGCAACATGGCAGCCCCGGGCCCAAGTCCGAGCACTCCCACACTCAATCACAACAGGACAACAAACGATGACAATACCGATGGATCACTCAGGACTGAGATCGTAGCCCCAATGTTTTGATAGATGGTTTCGACCCCGCACTGGTGGAGAAGGGTTGGAAAGTCAGCTTGAGCAGGTATATTGCCGAGTCTGCGGGTCAAGAGCCTGAAGAGGATGATGGCGAACCTCTCGAAGAGTTCTGGCAGGCGCTTCTCCCCTCCTTTGCGTCTCCTCCCCCGCAATCTCATGCCAACCTTACGACAGTTACCGAGCCCTCCCAAAACATCCTTTCCCGTCAACTCGACCTGCTCATGAAAGACCCCAACCGAGACCCCCGTCAATCTTTCCGCCACGCCGCTTCCGCCACCTCATCCTCCAACGTTCCCTCGGCTACCAACCCTAGCGCGGGTGGGTTCAACAATACCGCCGTGGGGCCTATGGGCGGTGCTGCCGAGGGTTTGAGCTTGCCTGGTGTTGAGAAGGTCATGCAGGAGATG